GCAAAATGTGATAGGAATCTGATGGAGGGAGATAAGCCATTCAATGATATATGCGCTCTTTCTGATGATATAAATCTGAATTTTACTCACATATTCAAGGCTGGGATTTTGAAGGCTCCTTTTGCGATTGATCTATTTTGCTTTGACTGCCCCAGACTTGTGTGTTGAAAGAACAGGCTATTGGGGCTGTTACACAATCATAGAATCATAGAGTTGGAAGAGACCTCATGGGCCATCCAGTGAAAACCCCTGCCAAGAAGCAGGAATATTGCATTCAAAGCACCCCTGACAGATGGCCATCCAGCCTCCGCTTAAAAGCTTCCAAAGAAGGAGCCTCCACCACACTCCGGGGCAGAGAGTTCCACTGCTGAATGGCTCTCATAGTCAGGAAGTTCTTCCTAATGCAGCAGAAAACAAGTTCGCTCCCTCCTCCCTATGACTTCCTCTCACATACTTATACATAACTATCATGTCTGGTCTCAGCCTTCTCTTTTTCAGGCTAAACATGCTCAGCTCTTTAAGCTGCTCTTCATAGGGCTTGTTCTCCAGACCCTTGATCATTTTAGTTGCCCTCCTCTGGACACATTCCAGTTTGTCAATCTCTCTCTCTTGTTTTTGCTCAAGTAGATGAATTGCCAAACACAATTGTGACATTTTAGAAACCCCCAACACCATGTTATCCTTTTATTGTTGCTCCCCAGCATATATAGGTCAACATTAACCAAAGGCCTGATGTGTGGGATGTTTTTCTTCCTCTAATTGTTTCTGAATTAAGCATTTTATTTTCTTGCCTCTTAGCCTTATCAAAACAAGTGGGATATTGTGTTTTGTGTCTGCGACGCATGTTTACAAAACATTACAGGAAGCTTTGTCACTGCTTATAATATATACAGGCACTTTTTAAGTAAAGACATTCAGTAACTGTTATGGGCCCATTGGGAATGTTTCTCCTTTGTGTGTTTCCTCACTGTTCTAACAATCTGAGACTTTGCTTAGAACTTTGATCCAAGAAGTTTCTTTGGTCTTGCCTTGTCTTTGCCTCCCAGGAATCCCCCCCCCCTCCAAAAATATTACTCATAAGCTGAGCTTAATTCCCAGGCTGGAAAGGGTTTCCTCCCATTTGCTTCAGTGTAAATTGTTGAGCATTCCTGTTGTCGATAGGTTATCTTTTCTTTCCCCTCTTGAGTCATGATAATCTGTTCTTGCGCTGGCAGATTCAATAACTGCCTTTTCAAGTGATAGCTTACCGAATTTCTGATTACTCTGAGTCAGTTTGGGAAGACAGAGGTGCGACTTGGTGGGGGGGGGGGGGGGGGGGGTGGCGGAGAAGGAAGGAAGGATCCTTCCAGATGAATAGAGCCTCAAAGGGCACTGGGATTAGAAGAGTCGGCTTCTTGGTCAGAAAACATTAAGGAACTGGATGTGTAATGTGATGCTCAATTGTGTTCCATAAATCTGATACCTTCCTTGCCTTTTTTTGATAGAGTGATCCCCAGATTCAGTTAACTTTGATTTTTAAAAAAGCCCAGACTATCAGAAAGATAGCAGCTGTACGGATGGAAGAGCTGTGTAATATTTGTTTATTTATTAAAAACTTTTATATCCCGATCTTCTCACCTCCATAGAGGGACTCAGACCGGCTTACAGCAAAGATTCAATGCTACTAATACAAGTTAAAACATCATACAACAATACAAGATTAAAATACATATAGATAAAATACATATATACCAAATCGCCAAGGTAAAATCATGTTCAACTCAGTCCGCATATGGGGTCAGTCACTTCGGTCTGTAATCAGTCTCAGCCATTATTTGTTCCATAACCAGGATTTCACTAACCTCCTGAAGGACAAGAGGGAGGGGGCAGATCTAATCTCGCTCGGGAGAGAGTTCCATAGTCAAGGGGCCACCACAGAGAAGGCCCTGTCTCTCGTCCCCACGTGCTTGCGAAGGTGATGGGACCGAGAGCAGGGCCTCTCCAGAAGATCTTAATGTCATTGATGGTTCATAGGGGAGAATAGTCTGTTAGGAATTGTGGGAATTAAAGTCCAAAACGCCTGGAGGACTGAAGTTTGCCCAGGCCTATTTTATAGAAATACGCCTCTCCTTCCACAAAGGTAGAGTTAGAGCTGAGTTTTATTACACCCATCCATAGCATACTCTCAAAATACAAGCATTAGTAGGATGGAAGTTGGTTGCCACCGTCTCCTTTCCAAAGCCTTCAAAAAGGCCAGACATGGGGCCATGGCAGAGAGAATAAAGGGGTCAGTGATTCTTTTAAGTTTTCCCAGGGCAGGCTGGGCTACTACCATTACTTCCTTATTTTCAGATTTGACCTGTGGATAAGTCAACCCAAGTTCATTTTTTAAAACTAAAATTTCTCGACTTAAACGTGAGCATATTGGAGAGTTTCAGGGTATGAGAAGGGACATTATGTCCTGTGAGTAGCTTTGTGCCATTTGTCAGGGGAAAATGTTGGTGTAATAAATAATAGAGCCGAGTAACATTGGCAGAGGTGAGATGTGATGGTGGTGACTGGGTCCCAGATGAGAAACCAGTTGGGCCAGGGTTCTTGCTTCAACTCTCGTTGGGGATGCAGCTTTCCCAACAGTCTAGCAGTCTCTGCACCCAAGTCGACAATGCCCGAGGCCAAAGGAAAGCCCTCCTCCTCCTCCATTGCCCTCCTTCTTCCTGTCTAGCCTGCCCATCTCCTTGGCCTGTTTCCCTGGGCTTGGCCCTGCCTTGAATAGGCAGGTATTAGTGGCGGATTACCCCTGCCCTCTGTTTCACCTGTGCTGCCTTTGTATGTGCAGATGTTGCCCAGGCAAAGGGTTGGTTTTGGTTGGTTTGGAAGCTCCAGAGGTTGGGAGATTCTCTAATGAGGCTGCTTCGCAAAAGAAAACAGAAGAGAAGCCGCCTTTCCCACCTGAGTCAACACAGTTGCCGGCATGTGCGCACTTGTGCGTTGTCTGCCTTTGAGTCGTCCCTTTTCTTCTGCCGCTGTTGTCAAAGCCACGGAAAGGCCAATGAATAGGCCGGCAGCAGTCTTGTACGTTTCTGATAACATCAGAGGCCAAGATAAAGGAGCCATTTCCCTGGCAGCCAGGCCTATGAGGCAGCAAGGCAGCGGTCTCTCATCTGGCTTGGCCTGCCTTGCCAGCCCTGCACCTGCGCTGTCGTGTCTTGGGTTCTGTTGTTCCGTATTAGACACCTGATTAAAAATTAAACAAGGCACAGAACTTGCCTCAAACAAAAGCAAAATTGAAACATTCAAGCTTACATCTTGCAGGTCTCAGGTTTTCTTTACCACACCAAGAGAATTGCATGTATCATATGTGAAACTTAGTGGCAACATAATTGCAAAGTGAGGAAATGTGGCTTCTCTTTGTTTGGTCTTCAAACAAAAATAGCCAAGGGCTGGATGCTGCTTGGATCCTCAGATCCTTAAGCATGTAGCTTTACCAGCTGGCAAATAAGAACAGAACAGAGCCAGAAAGGAAAGTGCAAATGTTGTGGCCCCAATTACCTGGATACATATATACAGAATGCATTGTTTTTGCAAGCCTCCTCGGTTCGGAACAAATGCTATCAAGCGAAGCATGCACACTCATCCGGGGCTGACTCATTCTCACAGTCGGTTTTGTCTGTAAACGCAGACTTCCAAAGTAAAATACTGCCTCCATTCTTCTCATGGTTAAGGACTTTATGATCTCTTTGTCTATATTGGCAGGTTTTTTTTTTAAATCCCCACCATCCTAAAACATTTCTGGTTCAATGTTGCTCTTTTTGGTCAACTTCATTAGACTGTTTTTAATTAGGGGTTAACTTTTTTGATAGTTTTGGTAGTACAGGAAAATGAATATGAGCAAGACTCGTTTTCTTGGTTTTTGAGGGCAGTTGCCTTCTGTGAGGCTTGTCTCTCTATCCTCCCAAAATTGTCTGAGCGCTTTCCCCCCGTTTTGCTAGGCCCTTCCAACTAGAAATGCTAGAGACGGAGCTTGGGGCCTTTCCCATGCAAACCCTTGAGCTGCGGCCTCTCCCTGCTTGAGATCAAAGTGTGGCTTTTAAAATAACGTTGGCGCCCTTTCACCAAAGGAGCAGATTAGCCCGCTGTGAGCCTGGGTGAGGCTGATCAACAGTGACTGACTCCACCAAGGTTGCCTTGCAATCTCAGCCGGGCAGGAATCCACATTCCGCTTGCTTTGTGCCTCCGGATGTACAACTTGGTCATGGCCACACTGTGTGTTTTCCAGGCGGGATGAGGAAAAGGATTGCCTTATTTTGGAAAAGCACAGTTTGTCCAGCAGTCGCCTTGAAGGCAATAATGTCAACATTTGAGTAGTACAGGCAGTGTAAGAGAACTTCTGTGGGATTGTTCATTGGCTGAATTTGTTTGTAGGTCAAACAGGCAACTGTCTCAAGTGTAACTCCAATCAATATATATTCTTTTGTCTTGGATCGCATAGGGAAGCATTAATACCCCTGTGGTGTTTCCCTTACTGTCTGTGCCCCTGTTCAAAATACTCCCCCTACATTTCTGTCCCTGTGAGAATTTGAAAAATTGGCTTGTTGTGGAAACAAGGATTAGAGACCCCCTTTCCCCCTGATAATAACTCTTCCAGGAGTGGATTTCCCTTCCAAGGGGTCAATTTCTCTCACTTCCTGTTTTCTCAGCCCTGTTCTTACCTATGAGTCATTTATAATGGATGTTTGTAACTTGGGTACTGCTTGTAGTCTCAGACAGAGTCAACACTATAAAGAAAGGTCCTATCAAAGTATGGAGTTCCCCAAGTGTTCTTTGTCTGAGAAACCGTCAGAAAGACATAACATTCAAGACAATCCCTGTCATGCAGTACTAGCTTTTGCATGATCTGAATTCCTTTTGGCAAACAAAAAGTGTTCTTGTAAAACAGGAATGGAAGGCCTTTTGTGGAAGGGTCTCTCTGTTTCTGAAATGTGCCTGGGCTGATGCCGTTCCTCGCCGTGTTTCCTCCACAGGTCAGTATGGGAACCCCCTCAACAAATACATCCGGCATTATGAAGGACTGTCCTACGACATGGACTCCTTACACCAAAAACACCAGCGTGCCAAAAGAGCTGTCTCTCATGAAGACCAGTTTCTGCGCCTCGATTTCCATGCTCACGGGAGGTACGTGCTGCGCCTGACTCTCCACTTCGCATCCATTAACCTTTGTCAAATATGAATGAATAGGGAAATGCAGTGCCTATATTTAGTTGAAACTTGAAGTTGGGGTTCTTAACTAACCTTGTTTAAATCACTTAAGGTTTTTTTTTTGAGGCGCAGAGCAGCATCGCCCTCCGCAGTTTTCCCTTTTAAAAGGAACCTAATTATCTCAAGTTTCTCAGAAAGTGGGCAATCTGTGGTTGGATCTAAACTGCCTTATGCATTGGACTGGGATATATGAGTTTGCACTGCCATATAATCCAGTTTGATGCAGTTAGTATAATCTATTCTGAAACTGCATTATATGGCAGTGTAGTTTCAGCCTGTGACTAGTCCAATTTGGGGCTTGCAATGTCACTTAAAGAATTAGTGTCCAGACCAAGAACTCTTGAAAGGCCTTTCAATAAGGAGGCAAAGTGGAGAAAGGAATCACTATCTCTTTTGTCTCTGGGTAAACAAACACACACACATGCTGGGTAGATATGTAAATTATTCCTTCCTTTCACGTCCTCCCTGAGGTGCACATGGGGCTGATAGTCTCTCAAGACAGGACATGTTAGGTCGAACCAAAACACTGTAGAGTCTGTATCTGTAGTTAGCCTCTCACCTTGTTTGCCACTCACCTCTTTAATAAAGCACTTGAGTTCTGGCTTTCATCCAAACTCTTTTCGGAGGCTTTATTCTTCACACATTGCTATATGTACAACTATTTACACATCTGGTCTGCTATCAGTTTATACTGATACAGAAATATACTCACAACCACACAACAAGAACTGAAGCAAAGAATCATGGTGAGAGATCCACATGGGAAGAGAGCATTATGGCAAGAAGAGTGTGCACATTCCAAAAGAGCATGCACATGACAAGAGAGTCTGCCACTTCCTTCTATACCCACAAGGACCACAGGAAATGATACGATTTTGGTCATGCTTGTCACATGGTCATGACTCAGCTGTCCCTCTAGATCCACGTCTCCAATTTCTTAAGCTTTCGGTGGAATGTGCTGTAACCACATGTCCATTAAAACTGTATTGTTTCACATGCACGAGTTACAAACAATGCAGTTCTTTCTAACACAGCATTATCAACCTGCCAACTTTGACACCAAGGAAGTGTCAGTAGAACAACAGCAATATCTGCATTTAATTGTTGAAGTAAATTGGGACTGATTTTTGTTGAATTTGGGCAAAGTACAGCTGTCTTCCTGTATAAGACAGCAGTGGAAGATGTTGCCTTCAGTAAAGAAAAGGGCCTATTAGTACTTAGGAGGGCTTTTAGCCTCTTCCCTGGTGCTGGCTGCCGATGCCCCTTCCCTGGCTTGCTCTGGCCTTGCTTGCCTCTTGGCTTATTTCCTTTTTGTTAGAATTACTCGCAAGCAGATACAGCCCCGGCTGGGTAATAGGGCGGATTACGGCTAAAGAACTTTATCCCATGCTTGGCTGTCTGCCGGAAATGAAGGAGAGCAAGTTGCCCCTCTTTTCAAGTGACTAATAGAAAGGCTTGGTTTTACCTAAGGTGTGTGTATAGCTAAACCACAGTGGGATTTTTTAATGAATCTCTTGTAAAATGTCCTTTGAAGGAAGGGAACTGTCTCCGTAGATCCTTTTGCAGCTGTTTTGGCCCAGGCGGCTTTGGACTTTCCCCATCCCTTCGATGGTTTTGCTGGTTTTTCTTCTTCCTCTTCCTCTCTGTATAATATTAGGATCCAAACTCAAGTTCTGTCTTCTCCCTTTTACAGGCATTTTAACCTTAGGATGAAGAGAGACATGTCTCTCTTTAGCGAAGACTTCAAGGTAGAGATGTCAAATAAAGAAATTGATTACGATACCTCCCATATTTATACTGGGCATATTTATGGTAAGTTTGGCCAATTTGAATTTCTTTTTAAAGGTACTGTATATACTCGAGTATAAGCCTAGTTTTTCAGTCCTTTTTTTAGGCTGAAAAAGTCTCCCCCGGCTTATACTCGAGTCAATGCTATTTATTATTTTACTTTGTTGTTATTATTATTATTATTATTAGTATTATTATTAGTATTATTAGTATTATCACATAGGAAAATCCCAGCAACATGTCCCAAAAGCACTTTATTAGAGATTAAGATTGTCTGCACATTGCACCTATCCAAAAATCTTTATATATCACTCAGCACACTCAGCACTTTTTAATCTGTACCCATTACATTTGCCCGGCCTAGTTTTTATTGTATCACGGTGTGTTGTTTTATTGTCCAATGTTATTGCTTTAATATTTTTGATTTGCTTTGGTTTATATGTAATTGTTATATTGTTGTTTTATTTTGGCCTTGGCCTTTGTTATCCGCATCGAGTCTTTCGGGAGATACTAGCGGGGTACAAATAAAGTTGTTAATATTAATAATAATAATAATAATAATAATAATAATAATAATAATTTATTTTATTATTGTTATTATCGCATTTATTATTTTACTCTATTATTGTTATTGTTACATTTATTGTTTTACTCTATTATTATTAATATTATTTTACTCTATTATTATTGGAGTACATGTAAGCATATTTACATTGAAGAAGGTTAGAATAATGGTTTAATCAGAGTTGGACAGTCTTATCTTGAATTACAGTTTTATGTAAATATTCAAAAACATTTAACCTACTGATGCCTAAATTAATATAATTTTATTGGTATCTATTTTTATTTTGAAATTTACCAGTAGCTGCTGCATTTCCCACCCTCGGCTTATATTCGAGTCAATTTCCCCAGTTTTTGGTGGTAAAATTAGGTGCCTCGGCTTATATTCGGGTCGGCTTATACTTGAGTATATACGGTACTTTTGAGTAACACTTATCTTAACTATTTTGTCGCAGACCTAGAGGGCCGTTCTCAGTAGGGGAAATCAATGCTTTCTTTGAAAAATTCACTTCTCTTCCAAAATTCCCAAGCGGATGAACTGACTTTCCAAAATTGCTTTACATAATTTATATAGTTTTAACATATATAATCCACAAAAGAGCGATCCCTTTATCACCTAATTGACAATTGCGATGCAGGCAGAGACAAAGGACGGGGAAACCCAGACTCACTCCGTTAGAAGCCGCAGAGTCATTCCTCTTGGGATCCAAGCTCCGCTGTCCTTTTACAATGTGAATAATTCATCATTTGGATCATTTCAAATCACTGCGAGTGTGCAAATGGTTTCGAATATGCCCCAGCCAGAATCTGATTTCTTATTTTTGAACAGCGACCTATAATTTTGAAGGCATCCTGAGGTTTTACTTACAAAAAATCAACAACCAATATGCATCACTTAGCCATAGTCCAGCGGTTGGTGGCCAGGTTGTTAACTGGAGCTGCGTACAGGGAGCGAACCATTCCTCTGTTGCGCCAGCTCCACTGGCTGCCGATTAGTTTCCGGGCATAATTCAAAGTGCTGGTTTTAATCTTTAAAGTCCTGAACGGTTCTGGCCCAGATTACCTGTCCGAATATATCTCCTGCTATGAACCATCACAAAGTCCCTCTTGTGGAGAGAAGGGCGGGATATAAATATATGAAATAAATAAATAAATAATAAATAGGAGCACCTTTTAATATAATAGGGTGCTTCCACAGCTTAGTTTCTAAGGATAAAGGGCACATGGAACACGCGTTGCATCTCCGTACCCCGACCCTGCAAAGCCCTGTCAGTGGATGGATCAATACCCAAATGTTGAAGGATTTTCATTATTCAAGGCCAGTGTGACGCGAACCTTGGCCCTCCAGAATCCCTTGCAGTAAAAATGTGCTCAGTTTTTGTAACTTTTTAGGGTTCATCCTGTCAGTAGGGAGCCCTGGTGGCGCAGCAGGTTAAACCGCTGAGCTGCAGAACTTGCTTACCAAAAGATTGGCAGTTTGAATCCAGGGAGTGGGGTGAGTTCCTGCTGTTAGCCCCAGTTCCTGCCAACCTAACAGTTCAAAAACATGCAAATGTGAGTAGATCAATGGGAAGGTAACAGCACTCCATGCCTATGGCCAGATGACCTTGGAGGTGTCTACGGACAATGCCGGCTCTTCAGCTTATTTATTTATTTATTTATTTATTTATTTGCTGTATTCGTATACCGCCTTTCTCAGCCAATCGGCAACTCAAGGCGGTTTCCAACAATTAGTACATATAAAAACATAATACAGATTAAAACATTAAACAATATAAAACACCACAAAAGCAATAAAAACAACATCTCATTATTATCAAGCATTGTCCAGTTCCATTGTCAAATCATTCGATTTCCTATATTAGCTACTCTGCATTTGTAAACGCTTGCTCAAACAGCCATGTTTTAACTTGCCTCCAAAACGTTAAGAGGGAGGGAGCAGATCTAATCTCCCTAGGGAGGGTGTTCCATAGCCGAGGGGCCACCACTGAGAAGGCCCTGTCTCTTGTCCCTGCCTAACGTACTTGAGACGAAGGCGGGACTGAGAGCAGACGATCTTAGAGTCCTTGATGATTCGTAAGGGGAGACACATTCGGACAGGTAAGTTGGGCCAGAACCATTTAGGGCTTTATAGACCAAAGCCAGCACTTTGAATTGGGCCCGGTAGCAAACTGGCAGCCATTGGAGCTGGCGCAACAAGGGGGTTGTATGCTCCCTGAGCACCGCTCCTGTTAGCAACCTGGCTGCTGTTCGTTGGACTACTTGAAGCTTCTGGACCGTCGTCAAAGACAACCCCATGTAGAGAGTGTTGCAGTAGTCTATACGGGATGTAACCAGAGCGTGGACTACCGTGGCCAAGTCAGACTTCGCAAGGTACGTGTGCAGCTGGCGCACAAGTGTTAGCTTAGAAATGGAGATGAGCACCACCCCCCAGAGTCAGACACGATTGGACTTAATGTCAAGGGGAAACCTTTACCCTTTACATGTGAGTAGACCTTCAATTCTGAATGTTTCTCCCCCCGTCACCCCCCGAACAGGTGAACACGGAAGCTTTAGCCATGGGTCTGTTGTTGATGGAAGGTTTGAAGGCTTCATCAAGACTCACGGGGGGATCTTCTACATTGAGCCAGCAGAGAGATACATCAAGGACAAAGCGCTGCCTTTTCACTCCGTCATGTACCACGAAGACGACATTCGTAAGTGCTTCAGCTTCTTTTTGCTTTCTAAAGGCAGAGTTGAGAGGAGTTTGCTTTTTAAAGATAAAGCTGATAGCAAATCTTGAAGATTAACCTTAAGATTGGTCTAGGATACTCGTGTGGTCATCTATTGTTGAAGCATGATAAGGATATTGGGAGTTGGAAGACTAAATTTGTGTTTATTTCTCGTTTAGAAACAATGGGTATTATAAGGCTCCCGACTCTTGGGCAAGAATGTAGTTGGGTGTTTTGTGTATATTTTCATGCAAAATTATCAGCTTTGAGGATTGTTGGAGGCCTCTTGTGAAGTCCAATACAATCAGTGTGCCTATGAACACTAGAAGGAGGTCTTGCAGGAAGGACAGGCAGTTCAGCCCAGTGTGTTAACATTGATCCCACAATTTTCAATCTTTCTTCTCCCAGTGTTTTCAACATCTTTGGATTCTCCCTCTTTTTTGTCTGCATTCTTCCTTGATTTGATTCTCTTTCCGCATACTTTTCCAAAGTGTTCCATCTGCTTTGAGCCATGGAGTATTATGGATTATTCCTTGCCAAGCCTCAGCTCAGCCGGTCTTTGTTAGATGCCTCATTGTTATGGTCGCAAGTGTGGTGGGTCTTGCAAAAGTGAGAGAGAAGCCAAGGGTTGAGTTGGCAAGTGGTCACGATTCCCTATCTACAGTGCATGGCTTTATATAGACTTAGTTCTGTAGCAGAAGTTAGTGAATGGCAAAGATGCCTTTCCAGACACTGGTAGGAGTATTCATGCACATCCATTCCAATGCACTTTGCATAGAATCATAGAATTGGAAGAGACCTCATGGGCTATCCAGTCCAACCCCCTGCCAAGAAGCAGGAATATTGCATTCAAAGTACCCCCAACAGATGGCCATCCAGCCTCTCTTTAAAAGCCTCCAAAGAAGGAGCCTCCACCACACTCCAGGGCAGAGAGTTCCACTGCTGAACGGCTCTCAAAGTCAGGAAGTTCTTCCTAATGTTCAGATGGAATCTCCTTTCTTGGAGTTTGAAGCCGTTGCGTCCTAGTCTCCAGGGCAGTAGAAAACAAGCTTGCTTTTCAGACCCTCCCTGTGAATTCCTCTCATGTATTTATACATGGCTATCATGTCTGCTCTCAGCCTTCTCTTCTTCAGGCTAAACAAACCCAGCTCTTTAAGCCACTCCTCATAGGGCTTGTTCTCCAGACCCTTGATCATTTTAGTCACCCTCCTCTGGATACATTCCAGCTTGTCGACATCTCCTTTCAATTGTGGTGCCCATTATGCATTGGTTCCCAGTGGACATCAGTTGCTTGGTTGCGGCCTCACATAATAACATCACAATTGCTTAATACAGATCTCATGAAATGGGTTGATTCCATTTCCTGAAGATGTGAGCCCATTTACAAAGACGTATGTCCCCAAGTGAATTCCTACTGTTAATTTTGAGCAAAAATGCCTTGGGAATAAATAACTTCACGTCTGTGTGTTTGGACAGTCTGAAAGATCCGAGCTAAATCTTGGCTTCTCTAATTTTGTTTTTGTTTGGACTCTTCCCTTCCAGATGCCTCTCATTTAATACGAGGTTCATGGAGTGAGAAAAAAGGAAATAATTCACATTTATAGCTTCCACTGTCAGTATGTGAAGCGAGATTGCACAGGATCTCTTGTGTGTTTTGTGTGTGTTTTGCTGGAAACTCCTTGACGCTGCAGGGGAGTAACAAGAGAGTAACAAGGCCGGCCTGGGTTCCAGCAAAGGCCTGAGACACAGAAGAATCTGTGTTTTCTAATGAGCAGCCTGTAGGTTGCCCATCCTTTGGTTTCTGGCATGAAAAGGCTTTTAGCGGCTTTCAGGCACAACAATGGAACGTATGTTTAGCATCACAATGGAGTCTTATTCATCACTTAAACAAAAGCCTGTTCGGCAGCAAGTTGGGATCATCTTGTTCGCTTCCCACAAAGTCCTTTGTCTGCCTTGCTGTCGAATGGGTCAACCCTTCTGTTGCTGTTTCAAAATATGCTAACGTATTTCAGATCCACACTCTTGATCTGTGTCCCTGCCTTTTGATAGAGACAGCGATGATAATTATTGGAACTGATAATTATTGGAACGCGTGGATCCTTTCACTCTCTTCTCCTTTCCCCCTTGAGAGGAATGGTCTCAGTCAGATGCTGCTTTGGCTTTGCAAAATGCAGAAGGGACTGGAACTTAGTGGCTAGAGCAAAGCTGGCTGAAAAGTTTTGGCAGTAAAACATAGCTTTAATACATGGGGTGCTTTTGCCACTAAATCAGCATTGAAGAGTGGTAAGAAATAGGGAGTTTGTGGGCCCATTGGATTTTCCCTGGGGTATGTTGTGTTCTTTACGTTGATTCCAATATAGTTATCTCTCCTTCTAGTGAGTCCCTCTTAGGCCTTTTCCTTTGTCTCTGGAGCCCCATGGTTGGTTATGCGTTAATTTAGCACCATTGATGCACATGGGACTTTGCATGGAAAGTGGCCCTGCCAAGACATGCAATTTGTTGTTTTTACTGATGTGTTGTTGGACTTGGCCTCATGTAAGCCGCCCCGAGTCCCCTTGGGGAGATGGTGGCGGGGTATAAATAAAGTTTTATTATTATTCTTAATTTTGGACAGGCATGCATTGACACATATATAACACAAGGAAGAAGGAATGCAAATATAAAGCTATGCCATGCACATTGTATAACAAATTATAGGTGGGCGGGGGTGCAATAAACACAATGCTCAGGGTGGCATTTTGTAGCTAACGTCAGTGTTAAACGGCATATCCTTAAAGGCTTCCTAAAAACTGAACATGAGTCATTCCTTCACACAAAGATACGCATCAGAGTTTTTTTAAAATTTTGCTTCATAATGCTTGGGATATATTTGTCTTTTTTACTTCCTGTCCTCGGAAAAAGAATGGTCACCATTAGGTAGTTTAGAGCAGTGTATTATTATTACCATTAATAGTTTAAATGGTTATTAACTGTGGAATTATTATTATTATTATTATTATTATTATTATTATTTTATTGTATTTATTTCTACCACGCTGTATCTCTCCCGCAGGAAATTCAAAGCGGCTTAACACAAAAGCATTTGCATACAATTTATATAAATAAAAATGTTATGTTCGTTTGTGGGATTAACATAACTCAAAAACCATTGGACAAATTGACACCAAATTTGGACACAATACACCTATCAGGCCAATGAGTGACCATCACTCATAAAAAAGATGGAAAACAGAGCAGAAAAGACTTAAAAAGCCAAAAAACAAAAAACACATTACAACACATGTGCAAAACCACATATATGCACAATTACACACATATATACGCACACAAAACACACAGACTGGGCCACAGCAATGTGTGGCAGGGTATGGCTAGTATATAAATAAAAATGTAATGTTCGTTTGTGGAATTAACATAATTCAAAAACCACTGGACGAATTGACCCCAAATTTGGACACAAGACACCTATCAGGCCAATGAGTGACCATCACTCACAAAAAAGACGGAAAACACAGCAGAAGGGACTTAAAAAGCCAAAATACATTACAACACATGCGCAATACCACATATATACACAATTACACACATATATATACACACACAAAACACACAGACTGGGCCACAGCAATGTGTGGCAGGGGACGGCTAGTATATAAATAAAAATGTAATTTTCGTTTGTGGGATTAACATAACTCAAAAACCACTGGACGAATTGACCCCAAATTTGGCAGCAAAACACATACGAATCCAATCTATGTCTTTCAAACTAAAAACCTTTAAAAATGTAGGAGAAATAATGTAAACTCCCCCAAAAGAAAAAATACCTTACAGCAAACATGCACACACACACACACACACATATACACACGCAAAACATATACACAGACTGGACCACAGCAATGTGTGGCAGGGGACAGCTCGTTTAAAATATAACTATACAAACATTGAAACGGAATTAAATATAAACAGAACTGCAAATTCCAGGGTTAAAAACCATTAAAACTATAAATGGTGGCCTGTGGGCCAGTGGCATTTTATGACACTTTTGGCCCATAGCAAACTTGAATAAAATGATCTTCATTGGGCATAAATATGGTATGAGTTACTGGCAAATTAGGGGGGGAAATTGTTTGCACACACATCAGAACACAGAATAAGTTCTGGGACTATTATTATTATTATTATTATTGTTATTGTTATTATTATTATTTACAATGAAAGACAATCTGTTCTGAAATGTAGTTTTTGCCAAGAGAAGATGGACGCAATCTTTGACCGAGGCCTTTTCTGTCCTTGTTTTCCTCCTTGTTATAGATGAGCAGAACTCATGTGTTCAAATGGCATCGATAGTCTTAGTTATCCCTTTCCTCTTTTGCAAATGGGCAATGCTGTGACTTTATGGGCTTTCATAGCACCCCAGTACTAGAATTCTTACTCATGAGCAATTCTTATGACAAAATATTGGACTTATTTAGAACATCTTGCCGTGTTTTTTCAAAGAAAACCCAGTGAAAATAATGTGCTGCGTTCCTCTGAGATAGATGACAACTGTTATGTATTTTGAGACATACTTTGAGATTGACTTAAAAAAAAGGCAACCACATGCAAGGATTGTGCTTTGCTTCCCAAACCTCCCTTTTCCTGACAATATGCCGGAGGAGAGATGTATCAGAATGCCTGAGCCGATGTCTATAATCTGCTTTGGCCTTCCCACCCCTCTTTAAAATGGGAAAGGCTAATTGGGGGTTGATAAACAGCTTATATTTAGGCAGCTTGTGTCTTCAATGCTTATCGACGTCTGTGGATTTGGACAGGATCAGGGCTGCTTTTGAAAATATATCCGTCTCCGAGTGAAACCAGCCCAAAGAAGGCTGTGAAACAGGCAAGGAGTTGGTCATCTTTCTCCTCTGAAAGACACCAGAACTTTGGGGTAGCTGTTCTCTCTTTGTGTTGTGCATATACAAGTGTTCCCTCGCTACTTTGTGGTTCATTTACTGCGGACTCGCTGTTTTGCGGACACACATACACACTTATACAGTCTATACTCAAGTATAAACCTAGTTTTTTCAGCCCCCTTTTTAGACTGAAAAAGTCCCCCTCGGCTTATACTCAAGTCAAGGTTGTTTATTATTTTACTCTATTTATTATCATTATTACATGTATCATTTTACTCTATTATTATTACATTTATAATTTTACTTTATTATTGTTGGTATTATTACATTGATTATTTTACTCTATTAGTACATGGATTATTTTACTCTATTGTTACTGTTATTATTTTATTTCCATTATTTTATTCTTTTATTATTTTTATTACATTGATTATTTTACTCTCTATTATTATTAGAAAGACACATAAGCACTTTTACATTGAAGAAAGTTAGAATAATGGTTTAATCAGAGTTGAGCAGTCTTATCTTAAATTACAGTTTTATGTAAATATTCAAAAACATTTAACCTATTCATGCCTTAATTAATTAATTAATTAATTTACTACATTTATATATCGCACCTCTCAGCTCGGGGGTGACTCGGAGCGGTTTACAATTGGCAATAATTCAATGCCACACAATTATAACAAATAAAACCATGTAATTGTATTGGTATCTATTTTTATTTTGAAATTTAGCAGTAGCTGCTGCATTTCCCACCCTCGGCTTATACTCGAGTCAATCCATTTTCCCAGTTTTTTGTAATAAAATTAAGTATCTTGGATTATATTTGGGTCGGCTTATACTCGAGTATATACGGTATATATATGTAGCGAGGGAACACTGTATACCCTGGCAGTGACCAGGAGGAGGGAGGTAAAGAGGGCGAGGGGGCAGCTCTTCCTCACTCCTCACCCTCATTACCTCCCTCTTCCTTTTCATGGTTGCCTCTTGCCGCTCCTTGGACCCCGCAACACCTCCACTCAATCGCAGAGCTCAAGCAGCGGCAAGAGGCCTCGGTGGTGACAAGGAGAAGGAGGAAGATGAAGGTAAAGAGGGTGAGGAGGGGAGGGGGCGTCCCTATTTTGCGGTTTTTCACTTATCGGGGTGGTCCTGGAACATAACCCCCACGATAAGTGAGGGAACAGTGTACCCCCAAGAACATGGGCCAAAAAGTCTTCAACTATCTTAGGTGGGAAACAAACATTTTGGATGGGTTATTATGATGGTGGTAATGATGATTACTATTTAATTAACATTTCTAGTCATTGCTGTGGAGCCGTACTGGCTGTAAAATGTGGCTGGCACGGCTTTACGCAGATTCAAATGCTTGACTCCAAGGAACTTTCCCAGGCATTTAGGACACAGCTGGCTTTAGAGATCTCTGCATTGCTATTTTCTCCCTTTTTGAAAGATATGAACCAGGCATTTGATGGTGGCAGCCTTGCCAAAAGTATACGTGAAAGACCTATGGTCTAAGCATTAAATAAATTATTATTACTGTTGGGTTTTTGTAGGCTTTTTCGGGCTATATGGCCATGTTCTAGAGGCATTCTCTCCTGACGTTTCTCTCCTGACGTATTATTACTGTTATTTCTTGCCCGCCTCTACTTGGGGCTTGAGGTGGGTTGCAACATTGCTAGAACACATTCATCTTTAAAACATCTTTAAAACATTCTTTGAAATGGACATATGCATTTTGTGAAAATACGCTTTAATATTGAAATATACAAAAGTATACAAAACAGAGATTAAACTTAAGATGCAAGTTTCAAATTTGTCACTAAAACCAGGGGTCCTCAAACTAAGGCCTGGGAGCCGAATGCAACCCTCCAAGGTCATTTACCCGGCCCTCGCTTAGGGTCAACCTAAGTCTGAAACGACTTGAAAGCACACAACAACAACAATCCTATCTCATCAGCCAAAAGCAGGCCCACACTTCCCATGAAATACGAATAAGTTTATATTTGTTAAAATTGTTCTTCATTTTAATTATTTCATTGTTTAAATGGTTTTTTTTATACTACAAATAAGATATGTGTAGTGTGCATAGGAATCCATTCATGCTTTTTTCAAATTATAATCCGGCTCTCCAGCACTTTGAGGGACTGTGACCTGGCCCTCTGTTTAAAAAGTTTGAGGACCCTTGGTCTAGACACTCCTCATATCCTTCTAATGGGTTGCAGTTGGGTGCAGGTGGCCCTGTTTTGATTGCAGCCAATAAGCAGGTCTCCGAGGCACATAGTTGCACGGCTGCCAGGTTTATGGTCAGCGTCCTCATGATCTCGCTTTTCTGTCCAAAAACAGCTGCCCGGAAGGAGCCATGCTGTTGCTACTCACCTGCAGAGAAGCAGGGAATTCAAAGCCTTGAAGCTCTGGCTCCTTCACAGCTGGACTCTCTGTGATGAGTCCATCTTCATGTTTGTACTGGGATGTTGGATGTGCCTCAAGTCTGTGCCGTAGCCTCTCTGATGTTCATTTCTGCTTCGAGAAAGGCTCTAGAACAGGCCTGGACCGGCTTTGGCCCTCCAGGTGTTTTGGACCTCAACTCCCACAATGTCTAACAGCCTATTGGCTGTGAGGATATTTTGTAAGATCCAGTACAAGTCCCGTGGTTTGCCTTTTAGGATATCCACATAAATACGGGCCGCAGGGCGGTTGTGCCGACCATTCCGTCTTCGAAAGAATGATGAAGTACCAAATGACTGGAGTTGAAGAGCCAACGAAACAGGTATGTATGGAGCCTTTGGGAAGCTGTTGGGTACGTTCCACAGACCCTCTCCAACCAATCAGACCTTTCAGAGATTTTTTGCAGTCATTGGTTAGGTTTCAAAGGACTATTAGAGGCATCTTTCAAAAGCCATGCCATTGTCGCACATTGCTTCCGAATGCTTCCTCAGGTCGTGTTTGTTGTGAGTCATGGATGCACCTCTGCCCTTATACACATGAGGTCCAAGATTATCCCAAACATAGGACAATAGTCTAAACTTTCCCCATCATCTCATCACATCATCTGATAATGCAGCGAACAAAGAATTTAAGATCCTGAGGCTATGGATTTTGAAATCGCATTCAATGTTTATCGCGTTTTCACTTTTTGTTCTATGTCTCTTAATGTGTGTATATTTTAATATATGGTTGTGTTTTAACTATGTTTTAAATATGTGCTTCTGTGAATGTATTTAACTATGAGTTGTGCCCTGCCTCTAGCTGAAAGGAGAGGCAGATAAAACAGTAACAAACTAGAGAGGTTCTGTAGGCTTGTTCTTAAGTTGAATTTGTTGGTAAGTCAGAACACGGGCATTTTGTAAGTGTAACTCCAGCCCAAAACCTATCTTCTTTAGCTTTTTATAGCATAGGAGTGAACAACCCTGTGAAGTTTCCCTTGCTGCTTGTACCTCTATCCCTGTGAGAATAAGATTTTGGGAAATGTGGCTTGTAATTGAAACAAGCATTGGGGATAAAGCTTCACTGGGGACACCTTTTCCCCAGATTATAACTCTTCCTTCCTTGCTTCCTTCCAAGGAGGAGACTCACTTCCTTTTGTATCTACCCCACTCTTAACTGTGAGTTGTTTGTAAGTCAGGTGTTTGTAACTCAGGGACGGCCTGCATTATTATTATTATTATTATTATTATACTAAATAGGTAAAGGTTTTCCATTGACATTAAGCCTAGTTGTGTTCAACTCTGGTGCTCATCTCCATGTCTAAGCCAAAGAGCTGGTGTTGTCCATGTGGTCACTGGTATGACTGCATGGGGCACCGTTACCTTCCCGCAGAAGCGGTACATTGATCTACTCACATTTGCATGTTTTTGAACTGCTAGGTTGGCAGGAGCTGGGGCTAACAGCAGGAGCTCATCCTGCTCCCCAGTTTCAAACCGCCAACCTTTCGGTCAGCAAGTTCAGCAGCTCAGCAATTTAACCTGCTATGCCACCGGGGTGTTATTATACTACTACTAATAATAATATACTTGGGCGCATGGATCTCATTGACTGAAGGGTTTTATTTCTCAAAAAATGTATTAAAAATTAATTGTAGGGTTTAAGGATGTTTTAAATTCCTAACTGCCAGAGCAGCAGCTGCATCCCTTCATCTCTTGGCTGAGACTGTCTCCAGGCTGCAGAATTATTATTATTATTATTATTGGAGCCCCCGGTGGCACAGTGGGTTAATTCCCTGTGCTGGCAGGACTGAAGACCGACAGGTTGCAGGTTCAAATCCGGGGAGAGGCGGATGAGCTCCCTCTATTAGCTCCAGCTCCTCATGTGGGGACATGAGTGAAGCCTCCCACAACGATGATAAAAACATCAAAAATAATCTGTGCTGGCAGAACTGAAGACAGACAGATCGCAGGTTCAAATCCAGGGGGAGGCGGATGAGCTCCCTCTATTAGCTCCGGCTCCTCATGTGGGGACATGAGAGAAGTTTCCCACAAGGATGATAAAAACATCAAAAATCATCTGCGCTGGCAGGACTGAAGACAGACAGGTCGCAGGTTCAAATCCAGGGGGAGGCGGATGAGCTCCCTCTATTAGCTCCAGCTCCTCATGCGGGGACATGAGAGAAGCCTCCCAGAAGGATGATAAAAACATCAAAAATCATCTGGGTGTCCCCTAGGCAACGTCCTTGCAGATGGCCAATTATCTCATGCCAGAAGCGACTTGAAGTTTCTCAAGTCGCTCCTGACACAACAAAAAAAAAATTATTATTATTATTATTATTCTCTTTATTTTATTATTATTATATTATTATTATTTATTATTATTTCTCTCTATATCTCTCCCGAAGGATACTCAAAGCGGCTCAACATAAAAACATCTGCATACAATTTAAATTATACCAATATGCAAATATATTAAACATAATTAAACATAAACAATGTTTCTAAAAAAATAACAGTTAATATCTGTTAAAACATATTCAAAGTTAAAAACCACAGGAACCTCACCCCACCCCCCCCCCCCCCCCCCCCCATGAATAAGGAGAATGCCCAGAAATGTGTTCTCCTTCATTGGAACGTCATTCCTGCCTCATGGGCTGTTTTGCTTCCTCTTAAGTCCTTGGATAAACTTGCTCTGTGTCAGATTAGTTGGAGGCAAATGTGATTGAGAGCCCAATGTGTGTATAGCGTGGATGGCAAGAGTGGGTTTCGAAGAGCAATAGCTGTAGGAGAGAAGGAAACCGGCACATAGACCCACAAAAGATAGCAGCAGGGACGAGGGAAGATGTCTTGGCATTTCACAGTCTCCTATTCTGTCTCTTTGCAGCAGAAATTAGTAAGCCATATGCTGGGGTAGAGGTCTGTTTTTCCTCCCACTTTCTGCCAACTTGGTTCTGCCTTTTCCGATAAATCAGGCACAGGCCAACTTCGGCCCTCCCTTCAGGTGTTTTGGACTTCAACTCCCACAGCCAGTAGGCTTTTAGGAATAGTGGGAGTTGAAGTCCAGAACACCTGGAGGGAGGTTGGTCCGAGCCTGCATGAAATCACATGTAACGTTTCCCTGGTTCTGATAGTCTCTTCCTGCCTCAAACGGAAAGACTGAATGGAGTTGCCACTTGCCACCCTTGCTGTGTCCTTAGCCACCCTCGGAAGAACCCAGTGGCCCCATCCCGGAGCTCTTGAGAAAGAAGCGAGCGGCTCAAGCGGAGAAGAACACGTGCCAGCTTTACATCCAGACGGACCACCTCTTCTATCGATACTACGGGACGAGAGAAGCTGTGATTGCGCAGGTGAGCCCTTGGCCTTCCCTCCTAAACCCACTTTCCTTTCCAAATGGGAGAACGCAGTCATCCCGAGTCCCTCTGCGGAGGCTGAGAGAGGACGGGATATAAAAGCCTGAAATCTATATAAATAAAAATGTAGTGTTCGTTTGTGGGATTAACAGAACTCAAAAACCACTGGACAAATTGACACCAAATTTGAACACAAGACACCTAATAACCCGATGTATGTTCTTTACTCAAAAAAATTGATTTTGTCATTTGGGAGTTGTTGTTGCTGAGACTGATAGTTCACCTACAATCAAAGAGCATTCTGAACCCCACCGACAATAGAATTGGACCGAACTTGGCACAGAGTTCTTCCATGACCAACAGAAAATACTGGAAGGGTTTTGTGGGCAGTGTCCTTTGGTTTTGGAGTTATAGTTCACCTACATCCAGAGATCACTGTGGACTCAAACAATGATGGATCTGGACCAAACTCTACACGAATACTCAATATGCCCAAATGTGAACACTGGTGGAGTTTGGAGAAAATAGAATCTTGACATTCGGGAGTTGTAGTTGCTGGGATTTATATTTCACCTATTTATTTTATTTATTTATTTACTTTGCTTATATACCGCTGTTCTCAGCCCGGGGGCGACTCACAACATAGAAAGGACAAGGTGCAAAATTCAAGACACAATCTAAAATATCAATCTAGCAATAACCAAAAACATCATCATCAAAAACATCAACAATATCAAAATACAAAAAGCCAATCTCGACGTCTCATCGTTTAAACCACAATCCAGTATCATTTCCCGTTGTTCCATTTCTGTCATCATTACCAATTATTGCACTTCTTGTTCGAACGCCTTCTTGAACAGCCAAGTCTTCAATTTCCTGCGGAATATCATCAGGGAAGGAGCCAGTCTGATGTCCACGGGAAGGGTGTTCCACAGCCGAGGAGCCACCACCAAGAAGGCCCTGTCTCTCGTCCCCGCCAGGCGTGCCTGTGAGGCAGGCGGGATCGAGAGCAGGGCCTCCCCGGATGATCTCAAAGTCCTGGTGGGCTCATAGGCCGAGATGCGGTCAGATAGGTATCTTGGGCCAGAACCGTTTAGGGCTTTATAGGCCAACGCCAGCACCTTAAATTGAGCCCGGTAGCAAATCGGCAGCCAGTGGAGCTGGTACAACAAGGACGTTGTATGCTCCCTGCATCCTGCTCCTGTTAGTAACATGGCTGCCGCGCGTTGTACCAATTGAAGCTTCCGGGCCGTCTTCAAGGGCAACCCCACGTAGAGAGCGTTGCAGTAGTCTAAACGGGATGTAACCAGAGCGTGGACTACTGTGGCCAAGTCAGACTTCCCGAGGTACGGGCGCAGCTGACGCACGAGCCTAAGCTGTGCAAATGCTCCCCTGGTCATTGCCGAGACCTGGGGCTCCAGGCTCAGCGATGAGTCCAGGATCACACCCAAGCTGCAAACCTGCGCCTTCAAGGGGAGTGCGACCCCATCCAGCACAGGCTGTAACCCTATACCCTGTTTGGCCTTGCGACTGACCAGGAGTACCTCTGTCTTGTCTGGATTCAATTTCAATTTGTTCGCCCTCATCCAGACCGTTACAGCGGCCAGGCACCGGTTCAGGACCTCAACAGCCTCCTTAGTAGCAGGTGGGAAGGAGTGACAGAGTTGGACATCGTCTGTGTACCTATTTTATTGTTTGTTGTTTATATTTTTGCTTCTGTTTTATACAGGCATTGCATGCTTGCCTTTATTATGTTGGAAGCCGCCCTGAGTCGCCTCGGGGAGATAAGACAGGCTTCAAATAAAGTATTATATAATATGCATTTCTAGGGGTTCTGAAGCTGATAGTAGAATCATAGAATCATAGAGTTGGAAGAGACCTCATGGGCCATCCAGTCCAACCCCCTACCAAGAATCAGGAATATTGCATTCAAAGCACCCCTGACAGATGGCCATCCAACCTCTGTTTAAAAGCCTCCAAAGAAGGAGCCTCCACCACACTCCGGGGCAGAGAGTTCCACTGCTGAACGGCTCTCACAGTCAGGAAGCTCTTCCTAATGTTCAGATGGAATCTCCTTTCTTGTAGTTTGAAGCCATTGTTCCACGTCCAGGGAAGCAGAAAACAAGCTTGCTCCCTCCTCCCTGTGACTTCCTCTCACATATTTATACATGGCGATCATGTCTCCTCTCAGCCTTCTCTTCTTCAGACTAAACATGCCCAGCTCTTTAAGCCGCTCTTCATAGGGCTTGTTCTCCAGGCCCTTGATCATTTTAGTCGCTCTCCTCTGGACACATTCCAGTTTGTCAATATCTCTCTTCAGTTGTGGTGCCCAGAATTGGACACAACATTCCAGGTGTGGTTTAGTAGTCAGTGTCTGTGGTAACGGAGTGGGAGAGAAGTCAACCTCAATTGAAAGGAATCTTCACAAAAGGAGAGTTTGTGCCAAAGTGCCATAATGACAGCTATGAATGTGCAGAAAGCCCTTCCTTTGGGCTATTGGTAAGGAAATTGGGTATCTTGTGCCCAGAGAGGGTTGTATAAACAACGGTTGTGTTTGCTTTCTTCTCCTTTAGATCTCCAGCCACGTCAAAGCTATTGACACCATCTACCAGTCGACCGATTTCTCAGGAATCCGAAACATCAGTTTTATGGTGAAAAGAATCAGGGTAAGTACTCTGTTTCAGTTGGGCCCACCCTTTTAAAGTAAGCATCTCACCTGCCATGCCTCCATTTGAGTGTTTCCACTTGTCCCGCTGCCTCTGAATGACTCCCGTTTGCATGTCTCAACCTGTGGCGTCCTCACATCGCCTCTTTCCAAGGGATCGATGAGTTGGTTTGCGAGTGAGTCACCAGAGCGACACTTAGGATCCGTGTGCGAATCTCCCTTTAAAGGCTGTCATTTGAAAACCTTTCTACTGCTGTGCTATAGGGAGCGTCCTGACCTACTGCATCTGCGCATGCTTTGGTAACTGCACAATGGCTGCAAATAGGAAGGTGCCCCAAAGGGGTCAACCCTTCTGCACACAGAATCATCGATTGCACTCTTTCTCCCTCTTCGAAAAAACTTTATACTGTATATACTCGAGTATAAGCCGACCCGGATATAAGCCGAGGCACCTAATTTTACCACAAAAAACTGAGAAAATGGATTGACTCGAGTATAAGTCGAGGGAGGGAAATGCAGCAGCTACTGGTAAACTGCAAAATAAAAATAGATACCAATTAAATTACATTAATTGAGGAATCAGTAGGTTATATATTTTTGAATATTTACAAAAATGGTAATTTAAGATAAGACTGTCCAACTCTGATTAAATGATTATTTACCTTCTTCAATGTAAATGTGCTTACATATCCTTCCAATAATAATAGAGAGCAACATAATGAATGTAATAACAACAACAATAATAAAAAGAGTAAAATAATGAATGTAGCAATAACAACAATTATACAGTAAAATAATAAATGTATAATAATAATAAATAGAATAAAATGATTCTAAATGAAAATAATAATAATAATAATAATAATAATAATAATAATAATAATAAAGTAAAATAATAAATAACCTTGACTCGAGTATAAGCCGAGGGGGACTTTTTCAGCCTCAAAAAAAAGGGCTGAAAGACTAGGCTTATACTCAAATATAAGTACCGCAGCCTCAAGAAATCTCAGAGCAGTCTTAAGGATCCATCTCACCCGGCATACTCTTTTTTGAATTATTGTCATCTGGCAGGCGGTACAGGGTGACAAAGGCAAGGACAAACAGACTGAGAGACAGCTTTTATCCTAGAGCTGTGCTGTGGCTTCACTTCACATTGATATGGCTCTCTCCTGTCCTTTAGAAAGAAAGTTCAAACCTGGCTATGGAACTGTGTTTGGAGTGTAGTACAGGGCAAGGGAATGTCATTGGAACGGCTTCTGGATTATGATTTCGGGTCTACGTGCAATGTTTAACAGCTTATTTAATGTATTTGTATGCTATTGTTTTTATGATTTTTATTATTTTAATGCATATTGTATTTGTATTTCTTTGTGTTTAATGCGGCATTGAATATTCCCAATTTGGAAGCCGCTCTGAGTCCCCTCCATACATGCAAAGCCATATTTATTATTTATTTATTTAATACACTTGTATACCGCTAATATCTCAGCCTAAGTCGGCGACTCATTGCGGTTTACAACAATTAAAAACAATATACAATTTAAAACAACACATAGACAATACAAATTATTGGGCCACCAATAATAATACCATGTATCTCGTCACTAAAATCACAGACCAGAATTCGTCATCCATAATTAACCAGTCCTTAGTCCATAAAATTCGGTGATAACAAACTAACCGAATGCTTGTTTACACAACCATGTTTTTAATCTCTTCCGAAACACCATCAGCGAAGAGGCTGATCGTATCTCTATAGGGAGGGTGTTCCAAAGCCGAGGGGCCACCACAGAAAAGGCCCTGTCTCTCGTTCCCCAGCCGCACTTGGGAAGCCGGTGGGATAGAGAGCAGGGACTCTCCAGAAGATCTTAGGGTCCTGGTGGGCTGATAGGCTGAGATCCGTTCGGATAGATAAGTTGGGCCAGAACCGTTTAGGGCTTTAAAGGCCAACGCCAGCACTTTGAATTGAGCCCGGTAGCATATCGGCAGCCAGTGGAGCTGGTGCAGCAGAGGAGTTGTATGCTCCCTGCGCCCCGCTCCTGTTAGTACCATGGCTGCCGCCCGTTGGACTAGTTGGAGCTTCCGGGCTGTCTTCAAAGGCAACCCCACGTATAAGAATATACAGAGTATTCAAACAAAAAACAAAATTATGCATGCAAAACTAATGCAGAATAAAACCAAGTTCAAGCTATTCCATAATATGGAATTAATTACTAAGTGCCAAAATAGTCAAAGTAGGCCTAAATCTGGGTTGTTGTAGGTTTTTTCGAGCTATATGGCCATGTTCTAGAGGCATTCTCTCCTGACGTTTCACCTGCATCTGTGACAAGCATCCTCAGAGGTATTGAGGTCTGTTGGAACTAGGAAAAAGGGTTTATATATCTGTGGCATGACCAGGGTGGGACAAAGGACTGGTCTGCTGGAGCTAGATGTGAATGTTTCAACTGACCACCTTGATTAGCATTTGATTGCCTGGCAGTGCCTGGGGCAATCTTTTGTTGAGAGGTGATTAGATGTGCCTAATTGTTTCCTCTTTGATGTTTTGCTGTTGCAATTTTAGAGGGGTTTTTTTAAATACTGGTAGCCAGATTTTGTTCATTTTCATGGCTTCCTCCTTTCTGTTGAAATTGTCCACATGCTTGTGGATTTCAGTGGCTTCTCTGTGTAGTCTGGCATGGTGGTTGTTAGAGTGGTCCAGCATATCTGTGGAATGACCAGGTCCCACCCTGGTCATGCCACAGATATATAAACCCATTTTCCTATTTCCAACAGACCTCACTACCTCTGAGGATGCTTGCCATAGATGCAGGTGAAACATCAGGAGAGAATGCCTCTAGAACATGGCCACATAGCCTGAAAAAACCTACAACAACCCAGTGATTCTGGCCATGAAAGCCTTTGACAATACATAGGCCTAAATCGTCTAAGGGGGCAATGCCCAGGATAGTGCAGAACAATAGGGAGATGGAGGGAGAGGAGAAGTCAATCCTAGCCATGACCATAGTAGGGCCTGGGACAACCTTCTCAGGGTCTAATTGATGGACTATGAGAAGTACTGGGCAGGACTAGTACTCCAAAAATGACAGGGGGGTGGGAAAAAAATAAAGAGCATAGCCAAAATCAGGCTAAAGGTCTGGGGACTGGGGCTAGAGCAGGGTAAAAAGGCCATGAATAAATAAATTAAATAAATGTGGCCTTGGGGATTCTATGGTGGTTCTGGTGGTGTTTGGGGCGTGGAGGGATGGGTGTGGTGTTTTGTGGCGTGTGCTGGGGAAGGCATTTAATTTCGTTGTGCAATAGTACAATGACAATAAAGCTATTCTATTCTACTCTATGTATTTGTGTATATACTGCATGTTGCTTGAGTGTCATTGGGACCACTGCCTGCCTACTTTCTCCCTTCTCCAGCTCTGAGAAGGAAGGAAGGCCTCCCTTACAATGTCTTATTTTTGCTGCCTGGCAGACCGTACAGGGTGACAAAGGCAAGGACAAACAGACTGAGAGGCAGCTTTTATCCTAGAGCTGTAACTATATTGATCTCCATGGCTTCGCATTGGTGTGGCTTTGGGGGCTGTGGTGGTGGTAAGAGTGTGGAGGGATGGGTGTGTTGTTTTGTGGCATGTGCTGGGGAAGGCATTTAATTTTGTTGTACAATGTAGAGTTACAATAAAATTACTGCATTATCTTTTATTTGCCTGACAATGCCTGGCCTTGTTCTTCCAGATCAACACGACCCAGGATGACAAGGACCCTTCCAACCCTTTCCGCTTTGCCAACATCGGGGTGGAGAAGTTTCTGGAGCTCAACTCGGAGCAGAACCACGATGACTACTGCTTGGCCTACGTCTTCACGGACCGGGACTTTGACGACGGGGTCCTGGGCTTGGCCTGGGTGGGGGCCCCTTCGGGTAAGTGGCCTCCCTTTGCGCATTTCGCTCCAGGAGACATTGTGGGAGGGAGAGATAGAGAGGCCTCCGACAGGCCACTCATGTCATAAGTACTGTTTAAAACCTTTTCCGTTTCCATTGAGACAGGCTCCATTAGGCACTTTCAGAGAAAGAAATAAACCCACACACTCCAGTACTGGGTTTTATAATTGGTTACAGAGGGAGGCCACAGGGGCCCAGTGAGTTAAATTGCTAAGTTGCAGAGCTTGCTGATTGGAAGGTTGGCAGTTCGAATCTGGAGAGTGGGGTGAGCTCCCATTGTTAGTTTCAGTTTTTGCCAACCTAGCAAAAGCAGGAACTAAAACATACAAATGTGAGTAGGCCTGTAGCCAGGGCGGGGTGGGTTAGGGGTTTAAACCCCCCCCCCAAATTTTTCAGGTTAAAAAAACTGGTTTACTCATGAATTTTAATTGGTTAACCAAATCCCCATGCTAAGTCTATGAGACGCAAAAAATTAAGAGTCCCTCCAGAACTGCAAGCACCATCTCAAGCAAATATTGACAATTTATTCACACTGTCATTACTTGCAGCAATAGCCGATGTAGCGAAGCAACCAAGTTGGGGGGGGGGGGGATGTTGAATGCTCTCATTAAGGAGGCCAGACTTGGTGGAGGTGGTTGACAGGGGCGAGCTGCAGGCTATTGAAGGCTGCTCTGCCCCCTGCTGTGCTCTTTGCTTCAGCGTGACCCTACCCCCCAAATTTTCAACCCCCCCCCCCCAAATTTTCAACCCTCCCTGAATTTTTTTCTGGCTACGGCCCTGAACGTGAGTACCGTATATTCTGGCGTATAAGAAGTACTTTTTCACCCAAGAAAATCTCCTCCAAAGTCAGGGGTTGTCTTATACACTGGAGTCGTCTTATAGAGCGGGTGCTGAAACTTCCAATCCGGATTGGAGAATCTGGGGTTGCTGCATATTGTGGGGGGAGCTCAAAAATGGCAGTGGCAGCGTCCCTGCCGTATGCAGCGACTGTATGAAAGCATTAAGAGCGATGCTGTACAAGTACGGTAGAAAAAAATCCATTCATCAGGATTCGTGGACTTAATGCGGTACTGATGGTGAGGTGAAGGGGTGCCTCACTGGGAAGGTGTAAGTGAAAGGCGGAGCAAGCTGTAGGTGTCCAGGGCACCTGGGGTATGGAAAAAAGAGATAGAGTGGCTCTGGGCCCAGAAAAACACACCTCTTTTACTTCAACAACAATAATAGTAACTAGTAATATTTAATGCTGGGTTGTTGTAGGTTTTTTCGGGCTGTATGGCCATGTTCTAGAGGCCTTCTCTCTTGACGTTTTGCGTGCATCTATTGCAAAACAACAGAGAGGAAACAATCAGGGACTTCTAATCACCTCTCAAGAAAAGATTGCTCCAGGCACTAACAAGCTACACCAAACAACTGCTGGGCCATCAAATGCTAATCAAGGTGGTCAGTTGAAACATTCACACCTAGCTCCAACAGGCAAGAGTTCTTTCTCCCACCCTGGCAATTCCACATATATATGAACCCATTTTCCTAGTTCCAACAGGCCTCACTACCTCTGAGGATGCTTGCCATAGATGCAGGCGAAACGTCAGGAGAGAATGCCTCTAGAACAGGGCCATATAGCCCGAAAAAACCTACAACAATCCAGCATTGAATATTAATAGTATTAAAAATAAACACTTGTTACTATTATTGTTGTTGAAGTATTGATAGAGACTTTTGTTTCCACTGCTGCTAGCTGGAGTTCTGGGATAGAGAGATAGATAGATAGATATAGATATAGATATAGAAATGTACTCAGAAGCAGTTCTGAAATAAAATTGTGCTGCTTCTATTTTTAGGTAGCCCAGCCTCCCTTATTCTGCAGGTCACGTCCCTCTCAGCCTCAAAAGTACTGCTTTTAGAGCCCTGCGGTCCCTCGCTGTGGGCGGCCCTTGTCTCGAACTGATATTTTTGTCTCTGTGGTTTCAGCCCAAACTTCCCAAAGTACATACAGTATGTCTGTAAATATCCTCCGAAGGCATGAGTCACTCGGCTTGCTGAGATAAGCAGATATTCTGAGGCTAAGCACTTTGGGGAGGCAAAGTGTTCTGCTATTTTGGAGGCACTTGGGAGAAGGGCGGCCCTTTAAGAGCCACAGGCAGACTCGGGGTCAAAGGACAGTCCTTGAACCATATCCTTCTTGGATTTTTAATTTGAATATTATTACTATAACATCTACTACTACTGTATCAATTTTTTTAAAGTTCCTGTTTTGAAAGTGTTATTTCCTGTTTAATGGTGCAATCCTGACTTTTAAAGAAGGAGTTTACGCCAGAAACTTTGCTTTTGTGGCTCCCACAAACTACGTTAAATTGGTTATTTATTTATTTACTAGAGAGGAGATTCCATCTGAACATGAGGAAGAACTTCCTGATTGTGAGAGCCGTTCAGCAGTGGAACTCTCTGCCCCGGAGTGTGGTGGAGGCTCCTTCTTTGGAAGCTTTTAGACAGAAGCTGGATGGCCATCTGTCAGGGGTGATTTGAATGCAATATTCCTGCTTCTTGGCAGGGGGTTGGACTGGATGGCCCATGAGGTCTCTTCCAACTCTTTGATTCTATGATTCTATGATTCTAGCCGTCCCCTGCCACGCGTTGCTGTTGCCCACATGGGGGTTCTGTGTGGGAGGTTTGGCCCAATTCTATCATTGGTGGGGTTCAGAATGCTCTGTGATTGTAGGTGAACTATAAATCCCAGCAACTACAACTCTCAAATGTCAAGATTCTATTTTCCCCAAACTCCATCAGTGTTCACATTTGGACATATTGAGTATTCGTGTAGAGTTTGGTCCAGATCCATCATTGTTTGAGTCCACAGTGATCTCTGGATGTAGGTGAACTATAACTCCAAAACCAAAGGACATTGCCCACCAAACCCTTCCAGTATTTTCTGTTGGTCATGGGAGAACTGTGTGCCAAGTTTGGTTCAATTCCATCATTGGTGGGGTTCAGAATGCTCTTTGAATGTAGGTGAACTATAAATCCCAGCAACTACAACTCCCAAATGACAAAATCAATTTTTTGAGTGAAGGACATACATTGGGTTGTTAGGTGTCTTGTGTCCAAATTTGGTGTCAATTCGTCCAGTGGTTTTTGAGTTCTGTTAATCCCACAAACGAACATTACATTTTTATTTATATAGATTTATTATCGTGCCAGAAGCAAATTGAGTATACTTATAATGTATGAAAAACCACAAAGTTAAAACTTGGCATGATGCTAAATTTCCTTTTACCAGAAGCTTGCTACTTGGAGTGCCTCTAGTGTCGCTGTAGGAAGGTCCTCCATTGTGCATGTGGCAGGGCTCGGGCTGCATTGTAGTAAGTGGTCTGTGGTTTGCTCTTCTCCACACTTGCATGCTGTCGACTCCATTTTGTGGCCCCATTTCTTAAGATTGACTCTACATCTCGTGGTGCCAGAGCATAGTGTGTTCTGCGCCTTCCAGGTCACTCAGTTTTCCGTGTGCCCATGAAGGAGTTTCTCATCCGGTCTCAGCCACTGATTGAGGTTCTGGGTTTTAGCCTGCCACTTTTGGACTCTCGCTTGCTGAGGTGTTCCTGCGACTATCTTTCATCCTTTCATTACAGGCTGCTACTTCTTGACAGATATCAGGTGGTGCAACACTGGCTAAGCAGTATAATTTCTCCAGCGTTTTGGGTGCAGAAATCCTGCATGTCTCATTAAGGGCCACATCTACTGTTTTAACGTAGTGAGATGTATTCCCCACTGGGCATGTGTACTCAGCAGTAGAGTAGCCAAGCTCAAGGGCAGATGTCTTCATTGTGTCTGGTTGTGATCCCCAGGTTGTGCCAGTTACCTTTTGTATGATGTTATTTCTAGCACCCACTTTTGCTTAATAGTCAATGATGAGAGATTCAATGAAAAAGTAGAGCAAAATGTGTGGCAGTTTTTGCAGTTTAATAAACTTTCCCCATGTTTTTATGATAGAACTAATTAAGAAATGGCATTGATAACCAAGGAATAAAAATTGTGTGACATAGTGGGTTATTATTATTATATTTATTTATACCCCACTTTATTTCTCACACAGGAGATGACTACTTCTTTTATTAATTATATTATATTACTTAAAGCTTTCATATTTTATTATTATTGATGTTAATATTATTATTATTATTGTATATTGAGTAAAAGTAAAGGTAAAAGTTTTCCCTTTGACATTAAATCTAGTCATGTCTGACTCTGAGGGTTGATGCTCATCTCTATATCTAGGCTAAAGAGCTGGCGTTGTCCGTAGATACCTCCAAGGTCATGTGGCCTGCATGACTGCATAGAGCGCCATTACCTTCCTTCAGAAGCAGTACCTATTGATTTAGAATAATAGAATCATAGAGTTGGAGAGACCTCCAGTCCAACCCCCTGCCAAGAAGCAGGAAAATTGCATTCAAAGCACCCCTGACAGATGGCCATCCAGTCTCAGTTTAAAAGCTTCCAAAGAAGGAGCCTCCACCACACTCCAGGGTAGAGAGTTCCACTGCTGAATGGCTCACACAGTCAGGAAGTTCTTCCCAATGTTCAGATGGAATCTCCTTTCTTTACTCACATTTGCATGTTTTCAAACTGTTTGGTTGGTAGAAGCCGGGGCTAACAGCAGGAGCTCATCCTGCTCTCTGGATTTGAACCGCCAACCTTTCGGTCAGCAAGGTCAACAGCTCAGCGGTTTAACCCACTTCATTAATTATATTATTTATGTTATTATTTATATTATTATTATTATTATTATTATTATTATTATTATTTATACCCTGCTTTTTCTCTCGAAAAGAGAATCAGAGCTGCTTACATCTTCCATTTCCTTTCAGGGAGCTCCGGCGGCATCTGCGAAAAGAGCAAGCTCTACTCAGATGGCAAGAAGAAATCCTTGAACACTGGCATCATCACTGTCCAAAACTACGGCTCCCACGTTCCCCCCAAGGTCTCCCACATCACCTTTGCGCATGAAGTGGGCCATAATTTCGGCTCTCCAGTGAGTACGGATGCTGTGATTCTGTAGTAGATTGAGAATGTTGCGACTTGGGTCAACACTCTCCCCTGGGCTCATTCGTGGTGCAGTCGAAGCCATTGAACAACAGGGCAGATGCTTTCATCTCATCTTTGACAGGGTGTAATTGACTGAAGGCTTTGCTTCCCGCATGACAGGAGGGAGCATGTTCATTTAGAATCATAAAGGTGGAAGAGGCCCCTAGGGGCCATCCAGTCCAACCCCCTTCTTTCTGCCAGTCAGGAAAAGCACAGTCCAAGCCCTCCTGACAGATGGAAACCCAGAATCCTCCTCCTCCTCCTCCTCCTCCTCCTCATAATAATAATAATAATAATAATAATAATAATAATAATAATAATAATAATTCTTACTCACCTCTCCATGGCTTAAGGTGTGTTACAGAACAATTAAAACAACGGTCCTCAAACTTTTTAAACAGAGGGCCAGGTCACAGTCCCTCAAACTGTTGGAGGACTGGATTATAATTTGAAAAAAGCATGAATGAATTCCTATACACACTGCACATATCTTATTTGTAGTGCAAAAAAACACTTTAAAACAATACAATTTTAACAAATATAAAATTATTAGTATTTCAATGGGATGTGTGGGCCTGCTTTTGGCTGATGAGATAGGATTGTTGTTGTTGTTGTGTGCTTTCAAGTCATTTCAGACTTAGGTTGACCCTGAGTGAGGGCTGGGTATATGACCTTGGAGGGCCGTATCCGGCCTTTGGGCCTTAGTTTGAGGACCACTGAATTAAAATATACAACCCTACAAATACACCACAAATACACATACCTCTATGAAAGCTACACACCAAAATGTATCTCTATAAAATAATAATAATAACAACAACAACAACAACAACAACAACAACACCACGATGTCACATTATTTTTGTTCCTGGTTCTGAATGTCTTTTCCTGATTGGTTCTATTATAAAACATGGGAAAAGTTTATTAAATGGCAAAAAACTTTGTCTTTTGTGGGAGGGACATCATCATGCAGTAGCACATCCTGCTTAACAATAATTTTATTTTAATGTCTGTCTCTTTTTAGGCTTTACATTGTATTGTACTGGTTTTAGTGTAATCTTTGAGAGGGGAGTAATAACAATAATTTGGAACACAATACACCAGACATCACGATGGTGGAAAAGAAAAAAGTCTGGATTATTGATGTTGCCATACCAGGTGACAGTCGCATTGAGGAAAAACAACAGGAAAAACTCAACCGCTATCAAGACCTCAAAATTGAACTGCAAAGGCTCTGGCATCAACCAGTCCAGGTGGTCCCTGTGGTCATGGGCGCACTGGGTGCTGTGCCAAAAGATCTCAGCTGGCATTTGGAAACAATAAACATGACAAAATCACGATCTGTCAACTGCAAAAGGCCACCTGACTTGGATCTGTGCGCATCATTCGAAAATACATCACACAGTCCTAGACGCTTGGGAAGTGTTCGACTTGTGATTTTGTGATACGAAATCCAGCATAGAGATCTCATTTGCTGTGACATACTGTACTTTTGTGTCAATAATAATAGTAATAATAATTTAAAATGATTTATTCTGTGTGGATAAGGCTAAACATTCTCCTTCTTCCTCTCTCTCTTAGCACGATTCTGGGACCGAATGCACACCGGGGGAGTCTAAAAACCTGGGCCAAAAGGAGAACGGCAACTACATAATGTACGCTAGAGCCACGTCCGGGGACAAGCTGAACAACAACAAGTTCTCCAACTGTAGCATCAGGAACATCAGCCAAGTCCTGGAGAAGAAGAGGAATAATTGTTTTGTGGGTACGTTTGCCTTCAGGGGGTTCCTTTGAGATGAAGGGAATCAGATGTTTGGAAAAATGCCACTCGTATCATAACCTTTTAGAAAAGCATGACCTTTCAGAGAAGACCTAAAAACCCGTTTGAGTAGAATCTTCTCAAGTGGTATACAACCAGATGTAATTATGAAAGGCAATTTGGCTTCAGTTGTTAGACTGATAACCTGTTGTCTCTGATCTGTTAGTAAACAGAGAATATGCCAATACACAAAATAGCAGTGCTTGAGACGTATTTTTCAGTGCCCAAAAATATATCTACTCTCCCATAAAACAACTAGTTTTATATCATGCACTCAAGAGACAAAATGAAGTTGACTTTGGTAAAAATGACATATTAGGATTACTCACAACTTCATGTGTTAATCATACATAGGTACACAAGTTATCAGTGCAGTTACAGATGTGTTTGATAGTTTCTCTGTGTGCAGATGGCCCAGGGCATCTCTCCTCTATCAATAGCAGTCAAGTGTTAGTTTGAGCAGTCCCAAAGGCTAATGGAGTCTGAGGTCTGAGCAGTCGCAGAGCCTAATCGTGTGGTCTGCAGCCCCTCCCACAACTTCTCAGGAAATATAGAGCAAGGAAAGAAAGCTGCAGACCAGAACATGCATACAATAAGTAAGCAACAAGTAAATAAGTAACAAGTAACAAGTAAATAAGTAAATAATTAAATAAGTAACAAGTAAATAAGTAAGTAATGTTCTGCAGACCAGAACATGCATACAATAATTAAGCAACAGGATTATATCCAAATTACTAGAGGAGGTTTGAAGAAAGTTTTAATTTCCAACAGGTTGTAATAATGGGCGTTCAGTCAGGCCTGGGACTCCCAACATTCAAATGCCAGATTATCAAAACCAAGCTCAGCTTCTCTCTTGACAATGTTGGCAAAGGGGAAATAGGTTTCTTGGCCACAGTGTGGCTTGTATGGCCTTGTGTTTCACATGAAATGAAGATGTCATTTCCGCAGCCTTCATGAGCATCAGTGCAAATTATTCTTGTCCTCCTTGAAATGCTGTCTTCCTCCCTAAGACCCTGGCCCACAATCAAAACATTCATGCCTTCAAACGCAGACCGAAGAGAATGTGAAGCTTGCTCACAGACAACCCATCCGTAGCCTTGTCTACACTTGGCCTTTTCCACATGTAAAGCAAGAGAGTGGTGAAAGCTGACAGAGTCTAGGCCAGGCCTGGGCCAACTTCGGCCCTCCAGGTGTTTTGGACTTCTACTCCCACTGGCTGTTAGTTGGCCCAGGCCTGGTCTAGACTTTTCTTTATTTATCATGTCAGGAGCAGACAAAGCATTTGCATTGCATTTTTTAACAAACAAAAACAAACAGAACACAAAGTCCGCAAGCTTGGTAGCTGGTTAAATGTCCTTTGACCAGTATCTGGCCACTTGGAGTGCCTCTGGTGTTGCTGCAAGAAGGTCCTCCATTGTGCATGTGGCAGGGCTCAGGTTGCATTGCAGCAGGTGGTCAGTGGTTTGCTCCTCTCCGCACTCGCATGTCGTGGATTCCACTTTGTAGCCCCATTGCTTAAGGTTGGCTCTGCATCTCGTGGTGCCAGAGCGCAGTCTGTTCAGCGCCTTCCAAGTCGCCCAGTTTTCTGTGTGCCCAGAGGGGAGTCTCTCATTTGATATCAGCCATTGATTGAGGTTCTGGTTTTGAGCCTGCCACTTTTGGACTCTCACTTGCTGAGGTGTTCCAGCGAGTGTCTCTGTAGATCTTAGAAAACTATTTCTTGATTAAAGTCATTGACGTGCTGGCTGATACCCAAACAGGGGATGAGCTGGAGATGTCTCTGCCTTGGTCCTTTCACTATTGGCTGCTACTTCCCGGCGGATGTCAGTTGGTGCAATACCGGCTTAAACAGTGTAATTTCTCCAGTGGTGTAGGGCCAAGACACCCCGTGATAATGCGGCATGTTTCATTAAGAGCCACATCTACTGTTTTAGCGTGGTGAGACGTGTTCCACACTGGGCATGCATACTCAGCAGCAGAGTAGCATAGCGCAAGGGCAGATGTCTTCACTGTGTCTGGTTGTGATCCCCAGGTTGTGCCAGTCAGCTTTCGTATGATATTATTTCTAGCACCCACTTTTTGCTTGATATTCAGGCAGTGCTTCTTGTAGGTCAGAGCACGGTCCAGAGTGACTCCCAGGTATTTGGGTGCACTGCAATGCTCCAGTGGGATTCCTTCCCAGGTAATCCTCAGAGCTCAGGATGCTTGTCTGTTCTTAAGGTGAAAGGCACATGTCTGTGTTTTAGATGGATTAGGAATCAGCTAGGTTTCCCTGTAATAGGCAGTAAGAGCACCTAGAGCTTCGGAGAGCTTCTGTTCAACCATCTCAAAGCTTCCTGCTTTATTGGTGATGGCACGATCATCAGCATAGATGAAACTCTCTGTCCCTTCTGGCAGTGGCTGGTCATTTGTGTAGATGTTGAACATGGATGGAGCAAGCACGCTCCCCTGAGGCAGGCCGTTCTTCTGTTTCCGCCATCTGCTTCTCTGGCCCTGGAACTCAACAAAAAAACTCCTGTTTTGTAGCAGGTTTCCTATGAGGTGGGTGAGGTGGTAGTCCTTTGTGATATTATACATTTTTCTCAAGAGGAGGCGGTGGTTTACAGTATCATAAGCCCTGACAGGTCTATGAAGACAGCTCCTGTGATCTGCTGCCTTTCAAAGCCATCTTCTATGTGCTGAGTCAGGTTCAGCACTTGCGATGTGCAGCTTTTGCCTTTCCTGAAGCCAGCTTGCTGTGGAATCAGACATGGGTCTATTTTTTCCATAATTCTATGCAAAATAAGTCTCTCCAGGACTTTGTAAAGGTGGCACAACAGGGAGATTGGTCTAGACTGAAGTGGGAATATTTGGACGGGAGGACCGAAACGGCTCGTTAGTGTGTTCTCCAAAGAAAGGAGTGCTCTTTGCTTAAAGCTGGCCTGGGCAAACTTTGGCTCTCCAGGAGTTTTGGACTCCCAACTCCAACAATTCCTAACATGCCTGTTTTAAAGTGTTCTGAGGTGCTGCCTGTTTGGGTTTCCCAGGCATTTGTTCATTTGTTAGCCATTCAGGCTTCACAACATACTAGCATAGGAAGCGCCAGCTGACTCGAGCATCCCATACCAGGAGAAAGCAGGGACAGAAGTGAAAGAAGGAAGCGAGTTAAAAAGGCACCCAAAGCCTCCTGCCTTCGGGCACTTTTGGAGGGAATGACACGGGGCGTGTTCTGGAAACACCCACAACTGAACTGGTCGCTGGGAAGGATTTGCTTGTTGATTCCAGCTCAGCTCCTCTGTGTGCCTGCCTTCACACATGTGGTGATGTTTTCCAGAATCGGGGCAACCCATCTGCGGGAACGGGCTGGTGGAAGACGGGGAGCAGTGCGACTGCGGCTACAGCGACCAGTGCAAAGATGACTGCTGCTTCGATGCCAACCAGGCGGAGGACAAGCGGTGCAAGCTGCGGCCTGGGAAGAAGTGCAGGTGCCAATGTGATAATGCTGCCGCTTTGGCTGCCCATCAAAGAGAGCGACTTTGAATAAGCAAGGGGCCTCTTAGTAATGCTCTCCATGTTAGTCTCTAAAGGTCCAGAGTTGAGCTCATCATCATCATAGAATTATTGACTTGGAAGGGACCTCTAATGGCCACCCAGTCCCACCCCTTCTGCCTTCAGGCAGGAAAAGCACAATCAAGGCCTTCCTGACAGATGGCCATCCAGCCCCTGCTTTATAATTAATAATAGTAATTATAATTATTATTATAGAATCATAGGCTTGGAAGAGACCCCAAGAGCACAGTCCAAACTCCCTTCTGCCAGTCAGAATGAGCACAATGAAATCCTTCCCGTCCCCGACTGATGGCCATCCAGCCCATGTTTAATAATAATTATTATTGTAATGGTAATAATAATTATTATAGAATCATAGGCTTCAACGAGTCCCCCCAAGGGGCCATCCATTCCCATCCTTCATGCAGGAAAAACGCTATCAAAGCCCTCCCAGGTAGCCATCTCCTGCTTAATAATAATAATAATAATAATAATAATAATAATAATAATAATAAATTACACAGTCCTAGACACTTGGGAAGTGTTCGACTTGTAATTTTGTGATATGAAATCCAGCATATAAATCTCATTTGCTGTGACATACAGTGTTTTTGTGGCTTGGAAGAGACTCCAGAGGCCATCCAGTCCAACCCCCTTCTGCCAAGCAAGAAGACACCATCTAATCCCTCCCAACAGATGGCCATCCAGTCCATACTTAATGATGATGATAATAATAATAATAATAATAATAATAATAATAATAATAATAATAGATTCATAGGCTTGGAAAATATTCAAGATAGATTCAAGTCCCACCCCCTTCTGCCAAACAGGAAAAACACAATCGAAGCCCTCCCAACAGATGGTCATCCAGCCCATGCTTAATAAGAATAAGAATTGAACCATAGAATTCTAGAGTTGGAAGGGACCCTCAAAAGCCATCCATTCCAACTCCTTTCTTCCAAAAGGAAGGAAGAAACAATCTGACCCCTCCCAACAGATGGCCATCCAGCCCCTGCTTAATCATAATCCTAGCATTGGAAAGCAACCCAAAGGGCCCTTCAGTCCAACCACCTTCTTTCTGCCAGGCAGGAGGGCACCATCTAATCCCTCCCAACAGATGGCCACCCGAATAATAATAATAATAATAATAATAATAATAATAATAATAATAGAGCCATAGAATCCTAGAGTTCTGGTCCCCTGTTCAGAAGATTCCACCTTGCTTTCTGTTGTGAGAATTGGATTTTTGAATATTTGGCTTGTTGAGGAAATGGTTGAATCATTGAGCTCTCAATTGAATACTGTTATTGTCATTGTGCATCGTACAACAAAATTAAATGCCATCCCAAATGCACAAGGTCTCTTCCAACTCTGTAATTCTATGTATGTTCTGTGATCTTGTGATCTGTCCTGAGGCCCCTTCGGGGTGAGAAGGGCGGAATATAAATCCTGTAAAATAATAATAATAATAATAATAATAATAATAATAATAATACAATTATATAAAATCATAAAAACATAAAGTTGTTTCTAACCATAAAAAGCCTTCCTGATTGGTATGAAGATAAAAAGTCTGGTATTTGTTCATGTTTATACTCCAGAGTTAGTAAGATGATTAACACTCACTTCCACCACGTAGCCTGAAGTTGGATAAAGTATATTTAAAGGCTAGAGAATTATCCAGCACCCGTTCCTCCAGATAATAATAATAATAGTAACTCTTCCAGAAGTAGCTTTCTCTTATGAGGGATGGATTCCTCTCCCTTCCTGGTGTCTCAGCCCCATTGTTCTTGACTGTGTGTTAAGTGGAGTATTTGTAACGCGGGGCCCTCGGCCGGTGTCTCCCTTTCCTTCCGCAGCCCCAGCCAAGGCCCCTGCTGCACCCAGGAATGCGAATTCAAGAGATCAGGGGCCAAATGCCGCAACGACTCGGAATGCGCGGAAGAGGGGCGCTGCAATGGCACCTCCTCCTTCTGCCCAACCTCCAGGCCCAAGCCCAACTTGACCGACTGCAACAGGAACACACAAGTTTGCATCAACGGGGTAAGTAGGCATCTTCTCAGAAAGGAAAGTTGTGGAATGGAGCATTAATGACTTGTTCTATTTGGTTAAGGCAGGCATGGGCCAACTTCAGCCCTCCCTCCAGGTGTTTTGGACTTCCAACTCTCACAATTCCTAACAGCCAATATTATTTTTAATATTATTATTATTTCTTCTATTTTATTTTTCAGTATATTATTTTTGTAATATTATGATATAATTTTAATATTTATTATTATATTGTTTTATTATTGTTTGATATTATATTATAATATGATATAATTTGTAATATTTATTTTGATATTGTGATATTATTTTATATTATTTTATATTATTTTATTATAATTTTATTAGATTATTTGTTGATATTTTTAAGTAGTTTTTTATTGAAATATTATAAAATTACAGCGAAAGAGGGTGAATATTTAAAAGAAGATAGAACAGTAGGAAATAATAATTGAATAGAGAAAAAAGAGAAAGAAAGAAAAAAGAGGAAAAAAAGTGCACCTCCCCCCCGAGGTTCAAAAAAGAGGAAGAAAAAAAATTAAAATTAAAAAGAGTTGACTTCCATCTCCTCATCAGGTGTTGTATCTCCAAGAATGAAAATGTTTCCGTTGCTTCCACAAAAAATTTCCTCTTACTTACTTCTTTCTCGTAATTATCATAGAGGATCCAATCTGTCCTCTTTATCGAGTTCCCGGAATTTTTTTTCCAAAAAAAAGTTAGTTCATCCATCTCTTATTTCTCTAATTTTCCCTGATATTTTTAATATTATTATATTATTATAATATTATTACCGGATTTTAGGAATTGTGGGAATTGGAGTCCAAAACACCTGGAGGGAGGCCAAAGTTGGCCTGGGTTAAGGGGTCAAATAGAAAGTTTGTTGCCCTTTGAGGATGATGCATTTAGGCGCCCTATAGATTGGCTCTTCTTTTATTTTGTGAAACAGGGAGACTTTTGAAAAGTTTTTCAAATCGGAGCAACATATATCAGAGTAAAGCTAGAACTATTAGAATCCATTATTATTTTTATTATTGTTATTATTATCCTTTCTTACTTGCCTCTCCTCTCAGCTCGAGGTTTTTTCTCTCCATAAGGAGACTCAAAGGAGCTAACATTCAAAACATTGCAGTACCATTAAAATATACAATTTTAAAACAATATTATTCATCATTAGTATTAAAAACAATCCAGATTAAATCCATACAAACATACAAACCCGCCACAGCCCCTGGCATGATCTTAAAAACCTTCTTCTTTAAAATCCTGTCTGAATAAAAAGATTTGAGCCTGCTGAAACACATCATCAAAACACCCGATTATTTAAAAACACTTCAGAGAATAGACATATTAAAATGTATTTCCATAACATACATATTGAAATACATAAAAGTTAGACAAAGAGTGGAAGTTTAAAATTCCTCATCGCAACCGCCTGGGTAGGACATTAAGATGCTCCCAGTCCCCAGCACCTTGTTGTCATTATGATAATGTATGTATATAGTGATATCACTGTAGAGCAGCAACAGAACCACCCTTTTCTCCTTTGGATTCCCTGAAAGGGCTTTTTTGAGATCCACTAGGAAGGTCAGAATGCCTGCAGCAGTATTCCAAAGTTATAGCAAAAGGTATTTGGTTGACGGTCATGTGCTTCCTCCTCAGCAATGCGCCGGCTCCATCTGTGAGAAGTATCTCCTGGAGGAGTGCACTTGCGCCAGCACCGACGCCAAGGACGACAAGGAGCTCTGCCATGTCTGCTGCATGAAGAAAAGTAAGTCGGCCTGAATTTAGGTGCAAGGGGTTCCTCTCTCCCTCCTTAGCAAAACCTTCGAGCCACAAGGAAACAGGGGAGCACATCTTTCAGCTCCAGCATGTGAATGAATGCTCCACATTGCCCATTCATTTGGTTATTGAGCTGTCTAAGCGTTATCATTCCAGTTGGAGATGAGTAGCATAAAGCAGAAGCTGAGGAACGCGCTTAGGCAAGTAGAAATGCTTTCATATCAGTATTATTATCTGATACGAAAGCATCAGATATTATTTATTTATATATTTATATTATATCCCACCTTTCTCCCCATGGAAATTCAAGGTGGCATCATCATCATCATTATCATTCTTCCATTCTCCCCACGGGAACTCATTGCGGCTATATTATTATTAATATTATTATTAGTAGCAATAGACCGTATATACTGGCGTATAAAACGACTGGGTTTATAAGACGACCCCCAACTTTTCCAGTTAAAATATAGAGTTTGGGATATACTCGCCATATAAGACTACCCCTCTTCCAACACACACCAAATAATTTTTTTAAAAGCATCAGATTTGATTTCAATATTGTAATTTTCCTATTACTGTACCTCCGTCTCTGCCTCTCAGATCTTGCACATGTGCACCTGCAGTCTTCAGGAGCGAGATCTGAGAGGCAGAGGAGGAGGTACAGTAATAGGATACAAGGGCGGGCCAGACAGGTAAAAGAGGTGTGTTTTTCTGGACCCAGAGCCACTCTATCTCTTTTTTTCCATACCCCGGGCGCCCCAGATGCATGCAGCTTGCTCCACCCTTCACTTACACCTTCCCGGTGAGGCGCCCCTTCACCTCACCATCGGGACTGCATTAAGTCCACGAATCCTGATGAATGGATTTTTTCTACCATACTTGTACTTCGTTGCCCTTAATGCTTTCATACAGTTGCTGCATATGACAGGGACACGGCCATTGCCATTTTTGAGCCCCCCCCCCCCCCCCATATGCAGTAACCACAGATTCTTCAATCCGGATTGGAAGTTTCAGCACCCACACTATAAGACGACTCCCGGTGCATAAGACTACTCCCGCGTATAAGACAACTCCCATGCATAAGGCTACTCCAGCATATAAGACAATTCCTGTATATAAGACCACTCCTTTGTATAAGACCACTCTCGCATATAAGACGACCCCTGACTTTTGAGATTTTTTTGGGTTAAAAAGTAGTCTTATATGCCAGAATATACAGTATTGCCTTTCTCCCCATGGGAACTCACAGCAGCTATATTATTATTGTTATTGTTGTTGTTATTATTATTATTATTATTAAAATATTTTTACTTGCATAACCATGCCTTTCTTCCTATGGAAACTTAAGGCATCTTTATTATTATTATTATTATTATTATTATTATTATTATTATTATTATTCAAGAGCTTTAGGAATGTTAGGCTAGCTAACCACCAGGATGAAAGTATTTTCATAAAGGAATGCCCTTTAGCACAATTTGTTGTTATTGTCATTAGTTTTTTTTTTAAAAAATTCTTTATTAGTTTATGTAGTAAGGTAAAACAGGTAGGGAAAAAAGAAGAAGAGAGAAAAGAAAAAAAGGAGGGATTACAAAAAGTGTGGGAACAAATGTCTCAAAGGAAAGTAGGAGAGTGTTCTCTCTGTTCTTGTACATTTTCCCCAGTTTTACCGGTGTTATATATCACCTATGGATAATTTTCATTGTTGTTAGGCTGTTAACAGGCCCGTAGCCTGGATTTTGATTCAGGGGGAGCTGAGTTTGATTCGGGGGGGGGGGGGGCTGAGTCTGAGTGAAAGAGGGTCTACCCTAGCAAACCTTTTGTATCGTTACCCCAATGCCCCCATGCATATGGGATATATTGAGCATGGTGATCAGATCATGATATGAATAAACATAACAGTTTAAATAATGTACCAGTAAGGCCTTCTCGTGGACCACCATGAGAATTTGGGGGGGGGGGCTGAAGCCCCCCAAACCCCTCCCCGGCTACATGCCTGGCTGTTAGGAACTGTGGAAGTTCAAGTCCAAAACAACTGGAGGGAGGGCTTAAGTTGGCCCTGTCCTGGTCTAAGAGGAATTTTCTTTCCCGGGATTTGAACCCATGCTCCATTGAGTCCCAGTCTCTGGGGCAGCAGAAAGGAAACCTTGCTCCCTCTTCCTTTGGACAGTCTTTCAAAAATTTAAACATGGTGAACCTTTTGTCTTCTTGCTTTCCTTCCTGTGATGCGCGCAGTGCGGCCAGAGACGTGCGCCAGCACTGGTTCGGACGTGTGGAAAGAGTTCTTCCAGCACAAAACCATCACGCTGCAGCCGGGGTCGCCCTGCAATGACTTCAAGGGCTACTGCGACGTCTTCATGCGCTGCCGCCTGGTAGATGCTGACGGGCCCCTGGCCAGGCTCAAGAAGGCCATCTTCAACCCCGAGCTCTACGAGAACATTGCCGAGTGGATCGTGGTATGTCTCTGGGGTTGATATACCGGCCGGGGTCCCCAAGTTACAAACATTGGGCTTGCAAAGCACTCCTAGGTTTATTCAGTGGAAAAATCAGTAAAGAAGATATAGAAATTTGTCAGTAAAGTTTTGTAGCTGCAAGATTAATAATAACAAAATCATGGAAGGGGGAAAAAGAGCTATTCATAAAGGACTGGAGAGGAAAATGATTAGACGCTATCCAAATGACCAAGCTGCCCAATGGCATTAGAGGAGGAAATAATGAGGACTTTGTTAGGAAATGGAGGCTTGCCTTTGACTATCTAGAACGGAAGACAAAGGTAGGCTTTAAAATAGCAGCAAAGGGAGGTTATTGATATAAAGATAAGAGTAGATTGTAATGAGTTCTTAGTTTCACATTGAGTGGTGTGGGCAGTCATGAGTGGTGGGGTGAGTACGGAAGGGAGATGCATTTATATTTTGAGTATTTGATGTGTTTCCTTTATATTCTTTACATTCCGTATATCACCTTTACACAATAAAGATTTATTTAAAAAAATAGGAAAAGAAAAAAAGAACAGCGGGGTTGAAACAACAGAACGGGGCATAACAATGACATCCACAGTTAGGGCCACACAATTCAACAGGAGTAACATTTTCAAACCAGGGACAGAGAATTTTTCATATTTGGTTACCCAAGTGTAATAAATCTGCATTGGCAAGAGGCTAGTTTTCCTTTGTAGGAAGCTCAACGGAAACATGTTCTGCCCGTTGTGGCTAGCAGATTCGTGTAAACGTTTCTGGTGACCCCGCCATTGAGTGAAGGGGGCCCCGTTTGGGAAGGAAGGAAGACCTGTGCCTTGAGAGTTTTTTGGTTTCACTTGACGGCTTGTGGGTGCGTTGTGTCCCCTCTGCTTCCAGGCGCATTGGTGGGCTGTCCTGCTAATGGGCATCGCCCTGATCATGCTGATGGCCGGCTTCATCAAGATCTGCAGCGTCCACACCCCCAGCAGCAACCCCAAGCTGCCACCGCCCAAACCACTCCCAGGTCTGTGTGTATGTATATGTGTATGTGTGTGTATAGGTAATTGGGTAAATTAAATATTAAAAATATTTGCTGGGAGGGAATTGGTGGGTAAGGGGATCTCTACTAGGTCTCCTCTGACCGTGTCTCCCTTTTCTCCTTAATGTGTATCTTTTAATATGTGCTTTTTTGGGTGGGTGTATTTTAACTATGTTGTAAGGAGAGGTGGGTAAGTAATAATAATAATAATAATAATAATAATAATAATAATAATAATATGTTCTGGAATGTTTACTGAAAAGCTGTATGTGTGTGTATGTGTACACATATGGTATTATTATTATTATCATTATTATGTTTTATCGCTTTGTTTTAACTATGTTGTGTCTCTCCTCGAGCTGTAAGGAGAGGTGGGTAATAAAAATCACTATTATTATTATTATTATTACTGACACAAAAGCACAATATGTCACAGCAAATGAGATCTATATGCTGGATTTCGTATCACAAAATCACAAGTCAAACACTTCGCAAGCGTCTAGGACAGGAGTCCTTAAACTTTAAACAGAGGGCCAGGTCACAATCCCTCAAACTGTTGGAGGGCCGGATTATAATTTGGAAAAAATATGAATGAATTCCTATGCACACTGCATAGTGCAAATACATTTTAAAACAATACAATAATTAAAAAGGAAGAACAATTTTAACAAATATAAACTTATTAATATTTCAGTGGGAAGTGTGGGCCTGCTTTTGGCTGATGAGATAGGGTTGTTGTTGTTGTTGTTGTGTGCTTTCAAGTAGTTTCAGACTTAGGTTGACCCTGAGCGAGGGTCGAGTAAATGACCTTAGAGGGCCGTATTCGGCCCTTGGGCCTTAGTTTGAGGACCCCTGGTCTAGGACAAAGAGAGAAAACATCATCATCATCATCATCATTATTATTATTATTATTATTATTATTATTATTATTATTATTATGTTTTATTTCTTTATGTTAACTATGTTGTGTCCCTCCTTGAACCATAAAGAGAGATGGGATAATAATAATAATAATAATAATAATAATAATAATAATAATAATAATGTTTTATCTCTCTTTTTTAACTATGTTGTATCCCCACCTTGAGCTGTAAGGAGAAATGGGTAATTTATTATTGTTATTGTTGTTGTTATTATTATTATTATTATTATTATTGTTTTATCCCTTTGTTTTTACTATATTATGTCCTCACCTCGAGTCGTAAGGAGAGGTGGTAATATATTATTATTATTATTATTATTATTATTATTATTATTATTATGACAACTCTTTGTTCTAATTATGTTTGTTCCCTCCTCGAGCCGTAAGGAGAGGTGGGTAATAATAATAATAATAATAATAATAATAATAATAATAATAATAATTTCTCTCTTTGTTTTAACTATGTTATGCCCCACCTTGAGCCGCACAGATAGGGGGTCAATACATTATTGTTGTTGTTGTTGTTGTTGTTGTTGTTGTTATGATTCCTGTGATGATAACTGTGTGTTGTTGCTGTTTGCGCTGCAGGCACCTTGAAGCGGAGGAGGCCCCCTCCGGCGGCTCAGCCCCCTCCCCGCCAGCGGCCCCGGGAGAGCTACCAGATGGGGCACATGCGGCGCTAAGTGAGGAGGATCGGGGTGGCGTTCTGTTCCGTATTTTTTCTTTCTTAATTTTTTTGCCTTGGTTCTTCCTAGTGCCTACAGTGGGAAAATTTCGCTCCAAAGAGAATCCGATGCTAAGCCATCGTGGTGATAGTCCCTGGTCTCACTTTTCAAAACCACAAAGGAGGAGGGAAGTCAAGGCCCTCGACCCGGCGGAGAGCGTCGGAAACAAGGTCCGATTGCAAGGCTTTCCTTTTGGACCGGATCGGTGGTTTCTGCCCCTTGCTCCCTTCCTCCTTCAACTCTTCTTCTTCGTGGTTGCCTTTTCTCCTCCTCCCTCCTCCACTTGCAGGCAAAATGCGGATAAAAAGTTTCTATTTTTCAACAACTCTCAAAAGGCTAGGAAGCGGGACCCGCCTCCGTGTTGGAGACATGACCGGTTTTGGGCCAATGTACATAACGGGGGACCGGGGGGGGGGGGGATATTGGTAATATGCAGAGCATTGTTCTTTCTAATGTACCTTCTTTCTTTTTCTGTGTGCAATTGTTAAAAACACAAAAGGAGAGGGGAGAAAAAAAGAGGATTGCAATATGGATGTTTTTTTTTTTTGTACAATAAGCCTTTGAGGATGAAGAAATCTCACTGCTTCAATTGACCTACTCAGGATATAAAAACAGAGGTTGAGGGTGGTGTCCAGCATTTGGATCATTGTGAATCACACCCAGCCCTTTCCCTTTTTTTATTTCAAAAGCAAACAAAATGTGACCTGTGTTGTTGTTCTTATTATTACTATTCTTGCTGATACATGCTTCTGGATGCAAGGACCCTTCCCTTCGGATCGAAAGGCTTTTCCGCCTCGTTTCATGCCTTGGAAAACGGCGGAAATGCCAGAATTGCCTCCCTTTTCCCTTTTCCATGCATCAACCTTTTCTTTTTAAACCAGGAGGGTTTTTTAACGAGAGGAAGACGAATTCCCTTTCGTCTTTTGCCTGCCATTCTCTTCTATGACCAACAATATTGATATATTTTTCTGTTAGAAAGATAAGCCTGTGTTTCTATTTTTCTCAGAAGGTTGTGGCCAACTTGCTTTTTTCAGTGACACTCTGGATAAATCTTAATGTTCCGCGGTCATTCGGGCACATCGGGGAGAGAGGTGGAAAACTCTGTGTGTGTGTCTTCTTCTGCTTTAATTTAATATGTGACTTCCAAGTAATATGTTTTTTGGCTTATTTTCAGCATGATAACTGTGTGTGCTTTTTTTGTTTTGTAAGGATAACCACTAAAAATCAAAAAGTTGCGTTATTTGCAAATGGCCCTTAAATGAAAGAGAAGTGAGAGCCACAGCATCATTTGCAAATGGCCTTTATATAAAAGAGGTAAGGCCCAATGCATTATTTGCAAATGGGCCTTTGGTAAAAGAGAGAAGTAAGGACCACTGGATTATTTGCAAATGGGCCTTAATATAAGAGAGAAATCAGGACCGCTGCATTATTTGCAAATGGCCCTTTGATAAAAGAGAGAAGTAAGGACTGCTGCGATATTTGCAAATGGCTTTTACATAAAAGTGATAAGAACCGCTGCATTATTTGCAAATAGGCCTTAGATAAAAGAGTGGTGAGGACCACTGCATTATTTGCAAATGGCTTTTCCACAAAAAGAGAAGCAAAGACCACTGCATTGTTTGCAAATAAAACAGAGAGGCCGGGAAGCTCAAACAGCACAAGATACACCCCAAACCGTTTATTACAAGTGTATATAACTGGCATTTTTTTAAAAATAGATGGGATAGCGGGAGACCTAGCTAGTGCGCTTAACTGCTATGCAGGAAACGGGAGAGGGCATTGTTGGGGCCTTGCCATATTATTATTGGACAGCAAATAACGAAGAGACCTTGGGGCTTCACTAAAGAATTCAGATTTCTTCAAGAGTTTGGCCAGGGCAGTTTCCCCTTTTATGGTTTTCTATTATTGTTTTGGGGAGGGGCTATTTCCTTTCCCTCCTGTTTTCCAAGAGTCTTAAGGTTTACACACGCATTCTCTTAAAAGCAAAGCCAGCGAGGCCAAAAAAAGAAAAAAAATGAAATTGTTTTAAACAAAACAAGAATATGAAAACAGGAATCTCTTTCCTTGTAAAACTTGTACAGTGACGGACTTTTTTCCACAATGAAAACAGCGCAGCTTTTTTTGTACCGGGTTTCGAGGCGGCTTTTGTACACGGACCGGCCCTCCCTCCCTTCCAGACCCATGGACTCTATACATACTTCTTCTGAAGGATCTGAACCGGTCAGAGAAACGCCAATCGTTTGCTTTCAAGCCCTTTAAAAGACGCATTTTGGGGATCTCTTTCTTATGTTCCTCCTTTCAAGCTGCGCAAAGATTTGCATTTCTAAAACAGTGGCTTTTATTATTGCAACAAAAAACAAAGCAGTCAATCTTGGGACAGATGTAAATTCCTTGCTTGTCATGTTATTATCCTGTGGCGAAAAGGTTCTGACTACCCTGTTTTTTATTATTATGGTTATGATTATGATTAATTATGATGATTACTTGAGGGAGGGGATGTCCTCGGTTTAATGGGTTTTTTTTCTGCAAAGAGGAAAACAAAACAAAAAAAGTGCACTGAACTCTCCACTACAAACAAGTCAAGACGTGGTCAAACAAAAACAGGAAAATCAAGGCAAATGATTGCGATCTAATACTACTGTCAGTTTAATGTCCACTGTGTTTTATACAGTATCTCTTCTTCTTTTGTTTTGTTTTTTGGTTCACTTTGGAAAAATTTTTACTAAAAAAAGTTGCAAAAAAAATTAAAATAAATGAAAGTATTGTGCAAACAAATGTAAGGTTTTTTTGAAACTTGAAAATGCATTAATAAATAGATCTGATGAAAAAAAAACCCAGAGCCGAGGTCGACTTTTATTTTCTGAAAATCTGACCCACTTTTGCTATTCAAAAAGCAGTTTTTCCTCTTCTGATTGTGGCCTCTTTTATGTATTTATGTAGTGATTTTCTATCACTTTGATTTCTTTGGCTGTGATCTGACTGAATGATAGGATTTTTATACTTTAACAATGCATAGAACACTCAGGGAGTGGCTTCGAAATGCATCACAAAACTACAAATTCCATACACTGGAACCATTACAGGTCCCAGTGACCAGCTGTACTTTCATGGTTTATTGGGGAGGAGCAGAGGAACTTCTGTATACAGTGGTCCATAGTCCCAATCTCCGCATGTTCTCTTACTCTTATATGTAGATGATGCTGTGTTATTGTCCTTATCTAGTATTGGCCTTAAATGCTCAATTCATTGCTTTGCTGGAAATTAGCTAATTTGCTGGAAATTAGCTAAACAGTGGTCCGTACTAACAGGATCCCTAAGCCCCTTCTATGCCCTGTGTCTTCCCTTCTGATGCATTTTAACTCACATAAATATCTCCTACAATGGGGTGCCTCTTAGAATAGGAGATGGATGGATAGACAGACAGGTATGGATGATAGATGAGAGCAATGGATAGATAGATAGTAGAGTTGGTTGATCCAAGTCGTTTCTTAACTCGTAATGAAATCGTAAATAAATTACCTTTTGAAGCGATATCGACGCGTTTTGGCAACCCGGAAGTGTTTTTGCCATATCGAAGCCGCGTCCGTCATCTTCCTTATGACTTCCGCCAGTGAATTGTAAATGCTGGGGGCGTGGCCTTCAGGAACAGCTGTTCTTACCCACGCCCACCTCCTTTTTGCATTGGCAGCTTTGCGAGGTGGGCATGGCTACCTCCCTGGCGACAAGCGGCAATGCGGAAGAGCTGGGTGTAGCCACGCCCACCTCACAAAGCCCCAGCGACCTCCAAGGAGGGCTGTGCTTGGCCACGGCCACCTCTCCCTTCTGCATGGAAGCTCGCGGCAAGGGAAGGAAGGGAAACTGTGAGATTTTAATGGTTCTGGAGGGAGGGAGGGGCACCTTCCATTAACAAAACAAAGGAAGCAATTCGTACTTCAGATCTTTTTTTTTTCAAGAAAATTTCGGAAATAATTTCAAAATCGAGTTTAGAACCATTTTTTTCTTGATCAACCAAGCCTAATAGATAAGAGTGATAGATAGTTAAAATGATAGACTAATAAATATGGATAGAAAGAGTAATAGATATAAATGATAGAGGTGATTGATGAAAATGCTAATCAGTGAATATGGATGAGAAAAGAACTAATAGATGTGAATGATAGAGATAATAGATGAAAATGATCGATGTAGATAATATGGATGAGAGAGACTAATAGACTGATGGACTGACTCATGATCTGTGGCCTATTGAGAACAGAACACATTTGGGCCGACTCAATCCCTCTTTGTAAGTTGCTTTATTCATCCTTTATTTCTCCTGAATCAGACTTCTCTTGGATATACATGTACGTTTGGATTTCTATACTGTTCCCAGGTCAGCTCATGGAAAGAAAGAAAAACCATAAGAGGAAAAGACGAAGGCTTGGAAGGGTCTCAGATTCTGTCTTATCTCTGTGCCTTGCGTAGCTGTTCACACCGGACAAACATTTTCTCCTGGCCGGGATACAGACGCAAATCGTCCACCGTTTGGGAACAGAAGGTCATCCTGGAAGCAGAAGGAAGAGGGGATATATCTATGGAACAATGTGCTCAGTGAAAAGACAAAGTATAAAAATATTATTAATAAATTAGATAAAAAGAAATATGTACTGATGAAATCTTGGCCGTTTTGGGCTACGTAAAATTCACATAGGATATGTTGTAGGTTTTTCCGGGCTATATGGCCATGGTCTAGAGGCATTTTCTCCTGACGTTTCGCCTGCATCTATGGCAAGCATCCTCAGAGGTAGTGAGGTCTGTTGGAAGTAGGAAAATGGGTTTATATATCTGTGGAATGACCAGGGTGGGACAAAGGACTCTTGTCTGCTGGAGCTAGGTGTGAATGTTTCAACTGACCACCTGATTAGCATTTAATGCTTGGAAGTGCCTGGGGGAATCTCTTGTTGAGAGTGATTTGATGTGCCTGAATGTTTACTCTCTGTTGTTTGCTGTTGTAATTTTTGAGTTTTTTTTAATACTGGTAGCCAGATTTGTTCATTTTCATGGTTTCCTTCTTTCTGTTGAAATTGTCCACATGCTTGTGGATTTCAATGGCTTCTCTGTGTAGTCTGACATGGTGGTTGTGAGAGTGGTTCAGCATTTCTGTGTTCTCAAATAATATGCTGTGTCCAGGTTGGTTCATCAGGTGCTCTGCTATGGCTGATTTCTCTGGTTGAAGTAGTCTGCAGTGCCTTTCATGTTCCTTGATTCATGTTTGGGCGCTGCGTTTGGTGGTCCCTAACACGAATCAAGGAACAAAAGTCCTTTGTCCCACCTGGATATATAAACCCATTTTCCTAGTTCCAACAGACCTCACTACCTCTGAGGATGCTTGCCATAGATGCAGGAGAAACGTCAGGAGAAAATGCCTCTAGAACATGGACATGTAGCCCCAAAAAACCTACAACAGCCCAGTGATTCTGGCCATGAAAGCCTTCGACAATCACATAGGATAATTTTTCTATGCAAAATTTACCTAGGATTGTTTTGCATAGAAAACCACAATGTTTTCTGCACACAAAGGGGTGTTTTCTCCCAGCACACACTCAAAAATAATTTTCTGCATGCAAATAACTTGCACAAAAATCTGTTTTTCTGCACAAATTTTTGTAGAATCTTTTTTTGCACACAAATGACTATCTTGCACACAAAAATATTCTGCATAAATATTTGTAGAATACATTTCTGCAAATATTTTTTGTGTACACAAAAAAATATTTTCTGCACAAATCTTTTGTAAAATAATTTTCTGCATCCAAAAGGCTTTCTTGCACACACAAAAGTATTTTCTGCACAAACTTTTGCAGAACAATTTTCTGCACACAAATGGCTGTTTTGATGCACAAAAAATTAATATTTTGCAGAAATCTTTGCAGAATAATTTTCTGCACACAATGGGCTTTTTTGCACAAAAGAAAATTCCTTGTGATTTTTTTTTGTTTGAATAAGCCATAACTGCAATTATTGAAGACCTTTCTTGCAGCAAAATAGTACTTTACTCATTGTTTACTTTGAGAAGAAAATGAGTAAAGCCAGCAATCCCTAGGCTCCAGCTGTAATTGAGAGCCCTGTTTGGGAAAGGGGTCCTTTTGGGGAGCGTTTCCATGTTGTTCTTACTTCTGTTGTGTCTCTCCTGCCTTGACCCGGATGGTCTTGACAATGAGGCCCGGCCGGCGGTCGCCTTTGCCCCAAGGGATGATGGTCTGGACAGTGTTCCAGATGTTCTCCCAGATGGCAATCCCTTCCCATTTCAGCTTGATCATCATCAGCTCCCCGAGATCAGACTCCAGTGGCACCAGGAACGTGTACGTCTTGTTCCCCGTGATGCCCTCGACTCTTAATGGAGAAAAGGGGAGAATGGGGACAGGACCCCTGGGTTCAAGTATGGCCACCAACGGATTACATACTCATTGAATTGCATGGTAGTCTCTCAGACATTGCAAGCGATTGAGGGAACAGCTAACTCAAAAACCAGTGGGTGAATTGACACCAAATTTAGACAGCATACACCTAACAACCCAATGTATGTCCTTCACTCAAAAATCTTTGATTTTGTCATTTGGGAGTTGTAGTTGCTGGGATTTATAGTTCACCTACAATCAAAGAGCATTCTGAACTCCGCCAATGATGGAATTGAACCAAACTTGGCACACAGGACTCCCATGACCAACAGAAAACACTAGAAGGGTTTGGTGGGCATTGACCTTGAGTTTGGGAGTTGTAGTTCACCTACATCCAGAGAGCACTGTGGACTCAAACAATGATGGATCTGGACCAAACTTGGCGCAAATATTCCATATGCCCAAATATGAACACAGATGGAGTTTGGGGGAAAATAGACCTTGACATTTGGGATTTGTAGTTACTGGGATTTATAGTTCACCTACAATCAAAGAGCATTCTGAATCGCACAAATGACAGAGCACACTGTAACTCCCACCAACAACGGATCTGGCCCAAACTTGGCACACAGACCCCATGTGACTAATAGAACATACTGCAGGGGTTTGAGGTGGATGGACCCTGGATTCTGGGAGTTATAGCTCACCAACATCCAGAGAGCATGCTGAATCCAGCCAGCTGTAGTTCTGGGCCACACTTGCCACACACACCCAAGATTGCATACTCGTAGGGTTTAGGGGCTTTGAACTTGAATTCTGGGAGTTGTAGTTCACCCACACACAGAGAGCACTGTGAACTCAAACAACAATGGATCTGGATCAGACTTGGTGAGCACATCCCAAAGGCTATCCAGCCCAAACTTAGCAGATAGCTACATATATAGATAGGTAGATAGATAGGTAGATAGATAGATAGATAGATAGATAGATAGATAGATAGATAGATAGAATGTTAGAGTTGAAAGGGACTCCAAAGGCCATCAAGTCCAACCTTAGAAGACAGATAGAAGGATATAATCCTAAAGCTGAAAAGGACCTCCAAAGGCCATCCAGCCCAGCCCCCTTCTTTCTGCCATGCAGTAAAAGCACAAACAAAGCCCTCCTGACATATATCTGCCCAGCCTCTGCTTAAAAGTCTCCAAAGAAGGAGTTTCCAGCAGACTCCGAGGCAGAGGGTTCCACTGCTGAACAGCTCTTAAGAAGTTCTTCCTAATAATGTTCAGGTGGAATCTCCTTTCCTGTCGTTTGAACCCATGGCTCCATTGAGTCCCAGTATCCAGGGCCACAGAAAACAGGTCTGTTCCCTCTGAAGGTGTCATAATGGCAGTGATTTCCCCTGCATTGTGTTAGGAAGGAACAAACCATGTCGGAAAGGAGTGTGAGGGACTCACAGGGTGATGGAGATGTCTTCCACGTCTCCCCTGCTCCCCGTCAGAGAAATCGTGAAGGTCGGGTCGATCTGCTTCGGACGGAACTCGTTCACGAAATGGATCTTGAACTGGTAGTGATAGACTACAGAAAAGAGACACACAGTCAACACACAGAGTTGTCCTACCCGGGAGACCCTCACATTCTGCACAAGAGCGGGAGAAAGTGGGACACAACAGGAAGGAAAGGTCTACCAACAAATAGAACACAATGTTTGTTCCTGAGTTGTCAGTATTATCCTTTGGCTAATCTCTGTTTTGTGTATTTTCATATGTATTTTCTAGAGATATGTTTTGGTGTGTAACTTTTATAGAGGGGCATTATAATATGTGTATTTGTGATGTTTTTGCTGTGCTTATGTGTTTTAATGCTTCTGTAACCCGCCTCGGGTCACAAGGAGAGGCAGGTAAGGAATGAAATTGTTGTTGTTGTTGTTGTTAGATGATGATGCTGATAATTATAAAAATCATCATTGCCATTATCATTATCCCACTTTCCTCTCTAAACCAGTGGTTCTCAACCTTCCTGATGCCGCGA